ATATGGAAGTATAACGGTTCGTCGTCGACGAGCCGTTCGCGGTCGAGCTCCGCTTGCGCGTCCGCTCGACGCCGGCGACGACGAGCACGCAGGGCGATCACGGTCGGCGGCGGCGAAGGGTCCGCCTCGCGGCGCAACACGTCGAGTGGCACGCGCCGGCGCTTGGGCCTGTCCCTTGCCCTGGCCCTTCCTCCTCTCCCTCGTCCTCCTCCTCCTCCTCCCTCGCGCCCGCGTCGACTGCGCCGCTCACCCCGTCGGCGGCCGCACCGCCACACCGCCCCGCCGGCCACGCCGCGCACCCGAGCAGTTCGGCGCTCCCCCTCCCCGGCGCGCTCCCCTCGACCCTCCCGCCTCGCCCGCACCCGCACCCGCACCCTCACCCGCACCCTCACCCGCACCCGGGCCCGCACCCGCGCCGAGCGTCCCTCGACGCGCCCGCCCCGCCCCCCGCCCCGCCGCACGCCCCCGCCCACGCCCTCGCACACGCGCAGGACCGCCCGGCCCCGACGCTGCGCGGCGTGCGGATCCCGCTCGCGCGCCCTGGGCGCTCTGCTGCTGCTGCCGCGGCGGCAGGAGCGGGCCCCTCGGGCTCGCCCTCGGCAGGCGTCGTGCGGCTCGGCGCTGGGCTCGTCGACCTCGGCGAGGTGGTGCTCGAGCCCTCGTCCTCCTCCGACGGCGGCGGCGGTGGCGCGCCGGTGCGGCAGAGGCAGGGGCGGTGGCACGACGTGGCGTGGTCGTGGCGGTTCGTGCCGCGCGTCGAGGGCCTGCTGCGCGTTGGGGGCGTCAGGGTGCTGCTCCTCGAGAGCGGCGAGGAGGGCGACTCGGAGGAGGAGGAGAAGCACGAGGGCGCGGGCGACGAGAGGTGCGCGAGGACGGTGCTCGAGCTGGACACGGTCGCAGAGGTGTGGGTCGAGGCGTAGAGAGTGCCGAGGTTGGCGGCGGGCTGCACCGATCCGAGCGAGAGGTTCAAGCGGCGCGAGGAGAGCGAGGTGGCGACAACAAGCTGTGTCGGTTCGAGGGTCGGGGCGTGCTTTCGAGAGGCTGCTTGGACTGCGCTGCACTGGTCTCTGGTTCACAGCGAGGCCGAGAGAGAGCGACGAGCGAGGTTGACACTCCTCCCCGCTCAGCCTCTCATCGCCTCTCGGCTCTTGACCACCATGGCATCACGCACGCTCGCCCGCTCTCTGCTGAGCCCGCGTTGCTCTTGCAAGGCCCCGACCCGCCTCGCATCCCGTCAGTCGCCGTCCTCGTCGCGCCTCGAGCCCGGCCTTTTTTCCCTCCTTCATCAGCGCGGTGCACTCACTCGACCCCGGCCCCGCAGACGCCGCACGGCACCAGTCGACAGCAGCAACACCACCAGCACCAGCACCAGCCGACAGCAGCAGCCCTTCCTCGTCGTCGCCGTACCGCGTCGTCGCCGCCGCGCTCCTCTCCCGCCCGCCCCTCGTCCTCCCCGCCCTGTCGCCCCTCGAGCGCTCGTACTACGCCTACCAGCGCAAGATCCACCGCGCCCTGTCGAAACCCACCTCGTCGGCCACGTCGTGGTTCTTCAAAAAGGGCTCGGCCGCCGAAAAGGCCTTTGGCGCGTTCGACCGCCGCGTCGACAACGAGGACAACGGGCGCGACGAGCGCGCCGACGCGCGCGCGTTCGAGATGGCCGGTGAGGAGGTCGAGGGCGCGCCCGAGGTCATGGGCTGCGAGACCGAGGCGGACCGCAAGGGCGACCTGAGGAGCTTGGAGCGCAGGGCCGACCGCACCTTGTACCTCTTGCTCAAGAAGAAGCGCGACCAGCACGCGTGGCAGTTCCGTGCGTCCCTCCTCTCTCTCTCTCTCTCTCTCTTCCCGCCCAACCACTCGCCTGACTCGCCCTCCTCCCTCCCCGGCGCCGCAGCCCAAGGCGCCGTCGACGGCACCGAGTCGCTCGTCGACGCCGCGCACCGCGAGCTCGTCGAGGAGACGGGGCCCAACGTCGACGCGTGGCCCGTCGGTCGCGTGCCCGCCTCGGCCCTCGAGTACCCGTTCCCGCCCGAGCACCGCAAAAAGTTCCCGCAGCACGAGGCCGCGAGGGTGCGTCGGCTTTTGCTCTCTCCTCTCTCTCTCTCTCGCGCTCGTCGTGCGGGCTGTCGCTCGCACGACAGCATGAGTGCGGCAAGGACAGCGGCGACTGACACTCTCTCGCCTCTCCCGGCAGGTCTTCTTCATGCCGATGCGCATCGTGCGCGGTCAGCCGGTCCCGAACGCCAAGGAGGGCATCGTCGACTTTGCGTGGCTCACCAAGGAGGAGGTCAAGGACAAGGTGTCGACCGAGTACTGGGACGCCGTCGCGCCGGCGCTGTCGGACAAGTAGAGCCGGCGCGCCACGTTTCTTGAGGGCGCGCGAGCGCGAGGGGCGGGCAACACTGAGCGTCGAGCACGAGACGAGGGCGGCGCTGCGAGAGAGGCTGCTGCTTTCCCCGAGAGCGACGAGATGAGCTGTCTCTGTCTCTTGCTGCCCCTCTCTCTCTCTCTCTCTCGCTCATGCGCGTGGACCTCGAGAACAGTGCCGGCGCCTCTCTCGCTACAGCTTCAGCTCCTCCCACCAAGCTCGACCTCGCCCTTGTCGCGCTCCCTCGCCCGCTCAAACCTCACCGCGTACGGCACCCCGAGCGCGAGCTCGAGCGGCCCGTGCGCGGGCGCCGGCGCCGGCGCCTTGACCTCGTCCCCCTCGTCGCCGTCGACCGTCACCTCGCGCGAGACGTGCACGTGCACTGGGACCGGCGCCACCGCCGACGCCGATGCTGAGCGTGAGCGCTGCGCCGAGGACGAGTGGCGTCGCTTGAAGGACGAGTGCGGGCCGGCGACGCGTGGCACGAAAGAGCCGCTCGAGGGGGAGGGGTCGGACGAGCTCGAGGAATGCGAGGAGCTGCGGGCGTTGACTAAGGGAGGGGCGAGCAGGGAGCGTCAGGGCGAGGGCGGCGGGCGAGAGAAGGCCGGGAGAGAGAGGACTCACGGGTGGCCATGACCGAGAGGACGTAGACGCGCGAGAGCTGGAACGCTGCGAGGGTCCGAGCGGGTCAGCGCTTTTCCTGCGCCGCCGCGCAGAGAGCTCGCCGACGCACCCGTGATCGTGTACCACAGCTGGCCGCCAACGATGACCGTGAGGATCTGCGGCGCCCGGTCGAGAGCAAAGTGAGCGACTTGGCGGTTCTCGCTCGAGGCGAGAGGAGAGAGGACGCACGAGCGTGATGACCTGCACGACGAGCGACGCCGCGTTCGTCTGCATGGTCTTGACTTGATGACGATGCGGCCGAGCGGGTTCCTGTAGAGAAACACCGTCAGCTCGGCTTCGGACCGCGAGAAGGTCAAAGCGGGAGGAGGAGAGGCGAGCGACGCACGAGCGAGAGAGCTTGGCGCTCGTCGCCGGGCCCAGCTCTCGTTGAGAGCGGATGATGACGTAGTAGGCGATGGCGCCGCTGCGAGTGGGGAGAGGAGGCGGGACATGACGGAAAAGGAGGAGTGAAACCTTAAAAGCTTTAAAAGCCTTATATATTCTTTTTTTTCTTATAAAACTTAAAACCTTAGAGATGAGGATGTCGCACAGCACGCCGGCCGACAGCCAGGTGTAGAGGAGCCACTGCGAGAGAGACAAAGTCAATCTCGACGAGCCATGAGAGCTTAGTACGTTAGCCATGAGGGTTTAGTTCGTTAAACATGAGAGCTTAGTACGTTAAACATGAGAGCTGGGCGAGTACGGAGCTGAAGACCGCCGCCGTGAGCTCGAGGAGCAGCATGCCGCTCGGGAGCCACCAGTTCTCCCTATTGCTCACGACCCACAGGCGCCACCTGCGAGAGAGCCAGCATCAGCTGAGGCTCGACCTCCTCTAAAGAAAGAGAGAGCGAGACTCACGTGAAGAAAGCGTGAGCCAGAAGGACGTTGATGCCAGTGAGGATCGCAAAGACGTGCAGCGACCGAGGAAACTTGGCAAGGACGAAAGGGTCGAGCGCCGCCTCGACCGTGTACCGCCAGGCCCACACACACTGGTTCACCGTGTCGAGTAGCGTCGTGAAGGTGAGGACGCCGACGAGGAGCTTGAACGCGAGGCGGTCGGTCGAGCTGAAGCGCGAGAAGTACGACCCGACTGCGGGCGGGAAAAGCAAAAGTCAGTGGATGCGCCTCGACGGCCTCGTACGACGTACGGCGCACCCATGTAGAACAGGACGCCAAAGAGGATGCAGCCGAGGAACGTCGCGACGAGCTGCGAGGACGAGGAGAGTCGGACTCTGTTGAACTTGCGCCCGAGGCTCGAGCGGGACGCACCACTGGCGCGACCACGTTGGCGATGGCGTACTTGAGGAGTCCGAGCTGAGCAGCTTTCGCAGGCGAGGCGGTGGTCGCAAGGACGTCGGCCATCTTGCTGTCGGGCGAGGTACAAAGCGGGGACAAGGAAGAGCCGATGCGAGCGGACGAGGGACAGCGGCGCGGTGTCGATGCGCGAGCGAAGGCTCGTCGAGAGGAGACAGGAGGCTCGCGAGGTGCAAACCGCTGCGGCGGACCAACGTCCGCCCTTCCTGCGCCTCGTAAATGAGGACGAGGCGCGAGCGCTCGTCCGACGGCGCAGTTTCCGGTTCTCGTCGTCTCGCGATCACGGCTCGCACTCGGTCCCTGAGTCAGTCATTCAGCTGCGCAAAGCCACGCGATCTTCGCTGCTGAGCGAGCGACGAGAAGTCGCCGAAGGCGAACGTAGTCGGAAAGCCAAGCGAGGAGCGCAGGCTCGTGCGCAGAGAGCCTGCGCAGGTGAGCGAGCTCTGTGCTGCCCAGCGCTCTCCTGCAGAGAGTCTGGTCTGCACGAGAGAAGGAGAAAAGCAAAGCGTGCGCGAGCAAGGGCAGGAAGACAAGCGGGAACGAGCCTGAGCGCAAGCGAGGGCGCACCTCGAGACACCCTCTGCCGGCTGTGTACGCTCGCGCAAGGCACGACTCGCTCTCTCAAGAGGACAGGGAGACGCAGGCGGACCCCATTACAGCCAGGACTCGGACCTTTTGAGCCTCCCCCTCGCAACGCAACCCTCAGTACTCCCCCTTCCGGCCCATCTCGAGCTCGTCGCCCTTCTCAAGCCCCTGCACCCGCTCAAACCGCACCGAGTAGGGGCTGCTGAGCACAAAGTCGCTCGCGCTCTCGTCGCCGTCGTCGATCTTGACCTCCTCCGAGACGTGGACGTGGACCGGGACCGAGTTGGCGCCGACGCCGTGCCGGCTGAACGTCGCGCGCACGTTCTTGGTCGACGCGTTGGCGTGCGTCGTACCTTCGCGAGAGGTAAAGGCGGCCGACTCGCCCGGGCCAGCCTGGTGGCGAGCGTTCACTACGAGGGCGAGAGGGTCAGTGCGTCCTCGTCGCTCAGGGGAAACTCGAGAGAAATCGGGCGTACGCGACGCGATGAGCGAGATGCTGTAGAGTTTGCTCATTTGGAACCCGGAAATCGAGTACCAGAGAGCCTGGCCACGACAAACCATGACGACCTGGCGAGGGAGGCAAGTCAGTGGTCGTCCTTCTCGGCTCCGGCTCGAGCGAGAGGTTGGAGCGCACGAGCGTGACGGCGTGGACGATCAGAGAGATGCTGTTGGTCTGCATCGTCTTGATGACGATCCGTCCGAGAGGGTTCCTGCGGCGGAAGAGCTGTGAGCGAGGGCGCAAGCTCATGAGAGGGAGGGGGAAGAGGGACGTACTCGCGAGAGAGCTTGGCCTTGGTGGCGGCGCCGGCGAGCCGTTGAGGACGAATGACGAGGTACCAGGTCATTCCGGCACTGCGCGACGAGGGCGAGAGGAAAGAAGGCGAGGGGGAGGAGAGGACGAGGAAGGTCAGGTCGACTCGGCGACGACGCGATAGTCGAGGGGGTGGACGCACGTGATGAGGACGTCGCAGATGAAGCCGGTCGTCAACCAGGTATAGATGAGCCACTGCGTGCGCGGTCGAGGAAAGGAGTCAGTCGCGGTGTCGAGAGGGAGAGAGAGAGAGAGGCTCGAGCGCGCACCTTTGCCTCGCCAAACTCGGTCATGTACGTGTGCGACCGGACCCAGCTGGCGAGGTAGAACGCGAAGCAGCACGCGGTGATCTGGAGGATCATCATGACGCCGGGCAGGACCCAGTTCTTGCGGTTGCTGACGACGAGGACGCGCCACCTGCAGAGACGGCGAGTCAGTCTTGCGCGACGAGGAAGAGAGAGATAGAGCGAGACGCACGTGAAGAAACCTTGGGCGAGGAGGACGTTCATGCCCGTCATGCACGCGTAAACTACGAGCTGCGCCGGAAAGATGCTGAGGACGGCGGGATCCGTGAAGGCCTTGACGGTGTACAGCCATGCCCACGAGCAGTCGTTGATCGTGTCGCCGAGAGACGACAGGGTGAGGAACCCGACGAGGAGCTTGAAGGCGAGGCGGTCGGACGAGCCGAACCGCATGAAGTAGACGACGGCTGCGAGGAGAGGACCGAGTCAGGGGGCTCGTCCGCGTCGAGGAGAGAGGGCGGAGAAGAGGGGACGCACCCATGTAGAGGAGAACGCCGTACAGGAGGCAGGCCATGAAGCTCGCGAGGACGATCGGCGTCGTGATCTCCCTCACGGCCCACTGGAACAGCGCGAGCTGCTCTGCTGCCGCTGCCGCCGCTGCTGCTGCCGCTTCAGGGTCTGTCGGGATGGCGTCGGTCGGCATGAGGAAAGTCGACATGACCGCAGGCGGGCACGAGAAAGGAGAGAGACGAAAGAGGAGAGCGAGAGTCGACGAGGAAAGGGAGGAGCGGGTCGACGGCGCGAGGAGAGCCGGCGACGCCGAGATGGGCCAGCGAAGCGCTTCGGACAAGGCCCATTCCGGCCTCGTAGCCGAGCGCACTCAGCCACCGAGGTGCATTTTCTCGAGAGAGCGCTCGCGCCCGAGGAGGAGCGAGCACCGGGCCCAGCGAGCGAGCCGTCCACCGCCACCCTTTGTGCAACCAGCGCGCGCCATGTGGCGGCTCGGAGGCGAGGCTCGAGCGGGCGCTAGGTCGAGCATGATGGGGCTCGAGGGCTTCGCAGCCTCGTCGAGGCTGCACGGAGAGCGGGGGTGGTGCTGGATGAGCGCCCCCGCTCGGCGCGAGGTGCAGCGCGTGCAGCACCGCGTGCTCGTGTCCAGCCTTGAGAGAGCAGTAGCACGCTCTGTGTCGAGTCGGCGGCTCGCCCCGGTGCGCTGGCGAGGTGGACGAGGGACGAATCGGGTCGGGGCGATGAGGCGGCTCTGGCGTGGCCGAGGGCGACAGGCGGTGCGGCGGGACTGCTGGCGGGCGTGCAGTGTCGGCAAGGAGCAACGCGTAGCAATGCGCTCGTGCTCACAGCGGAAGGGGCGGCGTAGACGATGCCAAATCGACCTCGTCCTCCTCGTCGCCTCGAGCCAGCGAGCGGGCCGCAAGTCTCGGATCTCTCGCTTGCTCTGCGACCGTCGAAGATGCGGCAACACGTTCAGCTGTAGTTCGCACGACCTGTCAAGCCCGCCGACCCTCGTTTCACGACCGTGCCCAGCCGCGCTCGCCTCGCGCCCGGCCCTCTTTCATGCCCAGCTCGATGTCGTCCCCGTCCTTGACCGACGCCCGCTCAAACGTGACCGAGTACGGCGTCGTCGAGCCGAGCGCGACGAGGTCCTTCGACGCGCCGCCGCCGCCGCCCGACTTGTCCGACTCGGCGTCGGCGGAGTCCGCCTCGTCGACCTGCACCTCGACGTGCACGTCAAAGACGGGCATCGACTGCTGCTCCATGCGGCTCCTGCGCGCCGCACTCGTCGCGCCCGTGCGCTGCTGCTGCTGCTGCTTGCTCGTCGCGCTCGAGCGCGGGTCCGGGTTGAACGAGTCGCCGGCGTCGGACGAGGCGAGCGTGCGGGCGTTGACTGCGCGCGTTGCGAGCTGGGTCGGCGCGACTCACAGGAGGAGAGGGACGGAGGACGGACGGGTGGCGATGACGTTGATGGCGTAGCACTTGGCCTCCTGGAATCCTGCGAGGCGAAGAAGGAGAGGTGAGCTTGTGGGCTCGTGCGGCGGCGACGAGAGAGAGAAAGGGACGGACCAGGGACGTTGTACCACAGCGTGCCGCGCCTGGTGACGATCACGATCTGCAAGAGAGAGGTGTCAGGCGAGGGGTGACTCAGGAGGAGAGAATAGCACGCACGAGGGTCACCGTCTGCAGCAAGAGCGAGACGCCGTTGGTCTGGAAGCTCTTGACGACGAGGCGGCCGAGCGGCGACGAGCGATTGGTCTTGAGCACGCCGCCACCGAGACGCTGGGGGCGGATGAGGAGGTAGAAGGTGATGCCGCCGCTGCAGAGAGACGAGGCGAGGCGGGGTCAGTGCACGGTGCGAGGGAGAGGTTGGCAAGGGAGGCGCACGTGATGAGCACGTCGATGACGATGCCTGCCGAGATCCACGCCCACATAATACCCTGCAGGAGGTACGAGGGAGAGCGTGAGCTTCGGGCGAGGAGGAAGGAGAACTTGAGAAGGAGGAGGGAACGCACCTCGATCTCGGGAAACGACGCCAAGTACATCGTCTTGTCGGTCCACCAGGCGAGGTACATCGCGAGACCCGCCGCCGTGAGCTCGAGGACGAGCATGCCGACGGGCAGCCACCAGTTGCGCCTCTCCGAGATGACCCAGAGGCGCCACCTGCGGGCACGCGAGCGCGGCGTGAGCGACGAGACGAGGGGAAGTGGGAGAGAGAGAGGTGGGCGACGCACGTGAAGAAGACTTGGGCGACGAGTACCGTGACGCCCGTGAAGATGGCGTAGACCGTAAACGTCTCGGGAAGTTGCGCGACGATGGTCGGGTCGGCAAACACCTTGATCGTGACGAGCCACGCCCACGCGCACTCGTTCATCGTGTCGCCGACGCAGGCGACCGTGAGGAAGCCGACGAGGACCTTGAACGAGAGGCGGTCGGACGAGCCGAACCGGACGAAGTAGGTGGCCGCTGCGGGTCGAGAGGCGTGGTCAGTAGCTCGTCCGCCTAGAGAGGGGAAGGGCAGAGGGACGCACACATGTACAGGAGGATGCCGCACATCATGCAGGCGATGAAGCTGCCGATGACGACGGGCGTCGTGATGTTGGCGACGGCGAACTGCAAACGAGCGAGCTGCTCGGCGGCAGCTGCTGCGACAGCAGCAGGGTCGGTCGAAGGAGCCGCAGCAGCTGCAGACATGCTCGAGTCTGAGAAGAGAGTGTGGTTGAAGGGAAGAAGAGCAAGAGAAGCAGAGTCTCGAGCAGCAGAGGCCGGCGGCCTTGGCTTGGCCGAGGAGGTCGCGAACGACCCCTTGCGCGCTTGACATCGAGCCGCCCGCACTTGACACCCCGCAACGAGCGCGCGAGGGCCGCCCGACATTGAGTCGAGCCTGAGCTGGCACTCTCCCGCCGGCGAGAGAGAACAAGAGCGGGACCGGGCGCGGCGATCTTCTGCGCGCCTGTCCCTCGCTCGTAGCGCTGCGAGGCTCGGCTCTGGAGGCGGTGGGTGACATTGTTGACCGACGCATCAGTCGCGCGCAAGGGGCGCTTCGGGTTGTCGTCGAGGCGCGGCGCGAGCGGACGCCTTTGTGCAGAGGCGCCTCGAGAGCGCCTCGACCCGAGCCCGACCTGCAGCTGCAGCATGTGCGGCTCGTGCACCTCGATCGCCCGGGGCACTCGGCGCGAGAGGCTCCGTCGGCGAGTTGAAGGGCTCGCTGCTGCCGCGGCGGCGGCCGGCGGCGGGTGGAGGCGAGGGGAGGACGCTTGGCGAGTTGGCCCGCTGGGGCGATAGCGGCGGCTGCAAGCGAGAGCAGCTAGCTGTGGCACCGTCACGCCGGTGTGCGGAAAGCAGCGGTGCGGCGAGAAGGAGAGGGAGGACGACGGGCCGGACTCGTCCTCATCAACCAACGAGGCTCGCTCGTCGCCTCGCACTCTAGCACTGCTGCTGGACGGCCACAGCTGGTCACAGTCGCCTGTCGACCGTACTGCACCAACTTCCAGCTCGGCCCGCCGACTTCCTCGCACTCGCCGGTGGGGCAGGCACCGCCTCGTTATCCGGTCCGTCTCGAGCTCCTCAGTGCCACTGCGAGGTCGGCACTGACTCTACGTGACCGACACACAGCCTGCGCGACCCGCTATGGACGCCAAGAAGACGCTGCGCGAGTTGCAGCGCCTCTTCTCCTCGACCGCCCCCTCGTCGTCCACCTCGTGCCCCGCCAACCCGTTCCCGGCGTACGCCCTCCCGCCCGACATCGTCAGCCTCCTCGAGGAGCACATCCGCACCTTTGCCTCGTCCTTCCCGCTCAGTGCGGCGGGCGCAGCCGCCGGCCAGTCCGAGGGCGAGCGCGAGCGCGCCCGCTGGCGCGAGGGCCTGCTCGACATCTGGACGTCGGCCGAGCCCCTGCCCGGCACCGAGCGCGAGCTGCACAACATCGGCAAGGTGTCGGCCTTCCTCGCGCTCCTCGACAAGTTGAGCGCCGACGTCGGCGACGACGACGAGGCGGCCTTGATCAGCCGCCAGGACATCGGCTCGGTGTGGTGGAACGCCGTCCTGCGTCGCACCATGCTCGGCACGGCCAAGGAGGACGACTCGGCGGCGTCGACGCCCCGTGCGCCTCAACCTCGAGGGCGCAAGCTCGACCGCAAGGGCAAGGAGCCCGCCCACCCGTCGTCGTCCTCGTCGTCGTCGAGCACGCCGATCCTCCCGCTCTACGTCTCGCGCCAAGCGCTCGCCGCCGCGACGCGCATGATCGTGTGGGGCATGGTGGCGCCGAGTCGGAGCCAGGGCGAGCAGGCCGACGACTGGGTGTCGCCGTTCGCCGGCCTCATCCTCAACGAGTACGAGGACCGCGCGCTCGCTCGGCTCAAGGGCCTCGACGAGGGCTACGGCATCCGCAACCTCGAGGAGTGCCTCATCATGTGGGGAGAGAAATCGCCCAAGGTGCGTCCGCTGGTCCTCGCTCTCTTTCGGGCGCCCAGACTGACCCGGTCCTCCCCGCAGGCCTTCTTCGCCCGCCTCTCGACCTTGCTTAGCCCGAGCCTCCCGGCCCTCCTCCCTACTTCCTCCCTCCTCCTGTCGTTCCTCGCCCGTCACTCGGCCAAAGCCTACCACGCCCTGTCGACACCGCTCGTCGCCAACCTCGTCACGGCCGCCCTCACCGTCTCGTCGGTCGCGACCGTCTCACTCGCGCTCAAGTGCCTCGACATATTTGTCGCGACGCTCCCCGTCATCATCGGCGAGCACCTGTTTGGCATCATGGCCGTGTACGCCCGCGCCGTCTCGTGGGAGACCGCCCAGGACCTCGAGGACGACGGCGACGCGCACGAGCCCAGCCCGACTGAAGGTGCGCCGCCGCTCTTCTTCCTCCCGATCTCTCTCCCGAGCCTTCACTGACCAGGTGCCGCGCCCCCAGATCTCTCGCCGTTCCTCGAGGTCGACGACGACAAGGTGCCCAACCCGACTGGCCTGTTCACCGTCCTGTACGGCATCTACCCGGTCAACTTCACGGCCTTCCTGCGCGACGCCAACGCGTACCTGCGCGACAAGGCGTGGCCTGGCGCGCTCGGCGACGGCGTCATCGACGTCAGCTCGGTCATGGTCCGCACCCGCAGCGAGGTGCGTTCTCGCGTCCCTCCTCGAACCTCTCTTCCAAGAGGCAGCACTGACTTGGCTCGCTCCCCCTTGCAGCCTATCCTCCGCACGCACACGCTCCACCCGGACCTGTTCGGCGGCGACGCCGCCAAGGAGCTCACCGACACCAAGCGGTGGGCTCGCCTCGAGGCGGCCGACGTCCGCGCCCAGTGCGACCGCAACGTGGCCCAGCCCATCATGGCCGCCGCCGACGACTGGCGAGGCGCCGTGCCCGTCGCCGAGCTCGAGCACGACGACGCACAGCCGCAGAGCGCGCGGTCGGCCGGGTTCGAGCCCGTCGAGGAGGGCGTCCCGCTCGACTCGACCTCGGCCACGCCCAAGGCCACCTCGCCCGGCCCGTCTCGCTCGGCCTCTCGCGCTGTGTCGCGCGTCCGGTCCGCGACGCCCTCGACGACGGGCACGGCGTCGCCCGTGCGCGTCTCGACGCCCCTCATGCCGGCGACGACCCACTTTACCAACTTCCAGGCGCTCCAGTCGACGGCCGGCTCGCCGACGAGCATGTCGCCCGCGCGCCGGTCCGGGTCGCGCTTCCGCGTCGCGTCGGCCAACTCGGACGGCGTGCCCGAGTGGCCCGGCACGCTCGAGCTGTCGGGCATGCACGGCGCGCCCGTCGCCTCGGCGGCGCACCCGCACAACCACCCACACGCACACCCGCACGCGCACCCGCTCGCGCCGTCGACCATGTCGCGCCGCTCGTCGGGCGTCGCGTCGCACGGCACGGGCGTCGGCCTCCTGTCGCCCGAGCTCGTCCCTGTCGGCAGCACGCGCGGTGTGTCGCCCGCGCCGACGACGGCCCACATCGTCAAGCTCGAGCGCGACGTGCTCCTCCTCAAAGGCGAGGTCGACTTCCAGAACTACCTCAAGCAGCTTCACCTGCAGCACATGGGCACGCTCCATCGCGAGAAGGTGCTCGAGTCGGGCGCCGAGGCAGAACGGCAGAGCTCGGTGGGTCCTCGCCTTGCCTCCTCTTCCCCCTCTTTCTCTCTCGCGTCGAGCCGTCCTGACCCTCGTTTGCGCAGTTCCGCACGATCCGGACCTTGCGCGCTCAGCTTCGCGCGACGCAGAACGCGCTCGACCAGTTGCGCTCGGAGCAGGCGGCGACCAAGGCCAACTGGACGGCGCACATTGCCGACTTGCGCGACAAGCTCTCGACGCTGCGCGAGCAGCGCATGCGGTGGGACCACGACGAGAAGATGCTCCAGGCCGAGGTCGCCGACTGGAAGGACCGGTTCGACAAGAAGGGCAAGGAGCTCGTCGAGGAGGGGTCGGCGTGCGTCCCACTCTCGCTCTCTCTCTCTTTCTCCTCCTTCCTCGACTCGACGACTACTGACACGACGACGCACACAGGCTGTTCGACTTGCGCAACCAGGTGTCGCTCGACGAGAAGAAGCTGTCGCGCATCGCCGAGTACGAGCACCGCATCGAGGCCCTCACCAAGACGCTCGCCATCTGGTCCGTCTCCCTCTCTCTCTCTCTCTCTCTCCCTCATCTCGCTCGCTTCGCCGTGACTGACGCCTCGTTACCCTGTGTCTGCAGCGACGCCGACCTCGTCAAGTTTGTCGAGCAGCGCAAGGAGATGAACCTGCTCGTCGGCGAGTGGAAGAAGAGCGAGCTCTTGCGCGAGACGGTCGAGCAGGAGAGCAAGCTGCTCAAGAAGGCCCTGCGGTGCGTCTCACTCTCTCTCTCCCTCTCCCTCTCGTTCTCTGACGCGACCGTCACTGACGACCGTCCGCTCGCGCAGCGCGATGGAGAACGACCTCGCCGAGGCTCGTCGCTCGGCCGCCTCCTCGGCCGGCCCAGGCGCCGGCGTCTCGTCGTCGGCGTCCAAGGGCGAGCTCGTGCAGCTCAGGCGCGAGATGGACCGCCTGCGGATGCGCAACCTCGAGCTCGAGGAGCGGCTCGCCGACGTGCTCGACGACAAGGACGCCGATGTGCTCGCCGGGAGCGAGGAGGCGGACGAGGTGACGACGGGAGAGGACCACGATGGGCTCGTCGCGAGCAGCAACGGGCGATAGCGTCGACGACTCGCAGCGCAATGATGCAGCTCTTTTCTCGCGCACTCGGTCTTGTCGAGGATAAAGCGGTCCGTGAGAGGAGAGAGAGAAAGTGTACAGCTGTTCCAGTGACTCGTCGGCATGTCGCGTATCGTATCAAGCTCGTCGCCCCACTTGCGAGTCAGACGACGTCGTCGCCCGTCGGCGCCGTCCGAGGCGCGCCCTCGTCGTCCTCCTGCGCAACCCGGTCCAGCTCGGCAATGTCGACCTCCTGCTCGCCCGCGCCGCAGCTCTTCTCGCCCATGACGTCGTCCGACGTGCTCGCGCTCAGCGCCTCGCTGCTCTGCACGCCCTGCTCGTCGTCGTCGCAGTCGTCCACGTCGCACGCCGGATCCATGTCGCGCTCGTAGCACGGCCCGAGCGTCCCGACGGCCGTCGTCGCCTCGGACCGCTTGCGGCGCTGCTGCGCCTGGTCGAGCGCGATCGTGCGCGACGTCGAGGTCTGGAGCATCGAGTTGATGGGCGTCGGCTGGGCCCCTTGGGAGCGGGCTGCGCCGGTCGTGAGCGAGTACTTGGAGAAGGACACGCCGCGAGGGTTGTCGCGGGCGAGGACTGCGCGAGGAGGAGGGGCACAGGGTCAGTAGCTGCTCTCTTTGAGTCGAACGTACACGAGAGACTCGGACGCACGAGAGACGATGACCGAGCCCGAGTCTGCGCAAGAGAAAAGGTGAGCTCGAGGTTCTTTGGGAAGGCCGACGACCGAGGAGCGGGACGACGCACAGAGCATGCTCTCGAGCATGGCTGGCACGGCGTAGATGAACTTGCCGGGCGACGCAAAGAGGAGGACAATGATGATGACCTTCGAACGCATGAAAGGTCGGCCTCGACGCTCTGTCGGGAATGGACGAGCGAGGGACGCACCTGGACGAGCAGGCCGACCGCGTTTGTCTTGGCGGCGAGGCCTGCGAGCTGCCTCAAGCGTCTGATGGGAGGCGAGGTCAGGTTGCGGCGGGACGACGGGGACGAGCTGAGGCGAGACGGGGGACGCACGAGTCGTTGAGCACGATCCCGGCGTGCTCTTTCCTCGGCTTCCACACGAGGTACCAGAACGTGTCGATCCTGCGTATCGAGAAAGGCGACCCCGTCAGGAGTGCCTCGAGAGGAGGAAGAGAGAGCGGGACGTGCGTGATGGCGAGGTCTGCAGAGGGGCTCGAGCGTCAGTCTCGGTTCGAACCTCGATCTCGAGGGGTGGAAGGAGGGGACGCACCGACGAGCAGGAGCAGGACGAGCCACCCAAAAGTGACGATCCTGCGAGAGAGAGAGAGAGAGGGATGAGCTGCCGGAACGGGCCGCTCGAGGACGGACCGAGAAGGGAGAGAGAGGAGGACGCACGCGACCGTCATAAAGTCGTTCAGGACCTTGTTTGGCGAGATTTGCGTCGTGAGGAAGATGATGCACCCTGCACACGCGACGCTGTGAGTTCTTGGGGCGTACGAGGAGGAGAGGGAGGACGGCGCGACGCACCATAGGCGGCGACCGACCCGACCGCGATCAAGCCCGGGACCCACCACCGCTTGCGGCCGCCCATGACCCAGCAGCGCCACGCGTACCACAGCTGGGTGACACAGACCGTGAGTCCTCTGCGGCGAGGCGGAAAAGAGTCAGGCAATGCGAGGAGGGGAAGGTCGAGGACAGGCTTGGACGAACACGCTGCGAGGACGAGGACAGTGAGCGTTTGTGACAGGGCGCAGGCCAGTGGATGCTCACGTACACGACGAGGAAGAAGATGAAGGACGGCACGAGGGGCATGAGGTCGTCGGTCGAGGTGATCTCCTTGCCTGTGTGCGAGAGGAAGAAAGTCAGGCCTCGTCGGTCGACCGAGAAGAGAGCGTGCTCGACGGACCGCTGATCATCCAGGTCCAGGCCGAGCACGTCGCCGTGACGGCTATCGACGACAGGGTGAGGAAGAGGACGAGCGCCCTGAGGACGCCGCGGTCTCGAGGGAAGTGCTTGAAGTAGAGGCAGGCTGGTCTCGTCGCCGTCAGTGCTGCTCGTCGATCTTGACACAGTGAACGAGGACGCACCGATGCAGAGGATGACGCCGCACAGGCAGCACGAGAGAAAGGTGCCGACGAGCTGTCGGGCGTGAGAGAGATCAGTTCCCGGTCGAGCGAGGAGGTGGGGGACGGGGACGCACCACAGGTCGCAGGACGTTGCTGAGAGAGTCGTCAGAGAGCGAGACCGAGGGCGCCATGGCGTAGCGTGCGAGGCGAGCTCGCAGCAGAGGTGCAAGAGGGAGAAGAGCAGGGAGCGTGGCGAGGGAGAGGCCAAGGCCAGACGCGAAGCTTCGAGCAGCTCGCACTGCCGCATCGCGAGTTCAACCTCGTCCGTCCCGAGTGCGGCGAGTGCGGCTCTGTTGGCGAGACCTTCTACAGGCGCAAGCGGTGCAGCCAAACTCGGGAGCACGGTCGACGGCGCGGGACGAAGCCGACTTCCCCAAGCGGCGAGGGCGCGCACAGCGAGCAAAAGCCAGGCGCTGTCCCGCCCAGTGTGGTCGGCCAAGCAGCCGGCCACGGCGACGGAAGCGGCGCGCGAGCTGCACGGCACGTTGAGCCCGAGTCGAGAGATCGGGACAGAGCTGGCGGAGCGAGTCGAGGGGGAGAGGAGCGACGGCATCGGCTGGGGGAGAGCGGCGAGCCCGTGCTGCTGAGCCTCGAAGAGCTCGAGAGGGTGGCGCGCTGGCCTGCCAGACTGCAAGAGCCGTCGTCACAGACCGTGCCGCCGTGAGGGAGCGAGACCAAGTTCATCGGCGGAGAGTGGACGTCGGGTTGGCCCCTGGCTCACTACCGGCCTCGCAGTACGACAGCGAGGCTTGCATGCGCCCTTGCTGCGCTTGCCAGACCGCGGCCAAGCCCCAGCGCGCCCGCTCTGTGCTCTTGGACGCCCCACCTCGTCGTCCTCCTCCCGAACCTCGTCGTCACCGGCAAGCTCTCGTCGGCGACGCACACGGCTGGGATATCGCTCGCGGCGATGTCACGTGTGCGTCCCTGCCTCTCCTCCCCTCCAAAACAGAGCTGACCTCTGCGTTGCCGCTCACAGTGCGCGTCCTCTCGTCGCCCTTGAGGCGGTGCCTCCTCACCAACAAGGTCCTGCCGTGCGGTGCGTTCCCTCTCCCTTCCATCATCCTCTGCAGCCACTGACCCTCCTGCCCCCGCACAGAGATGATGGTCCGCTTCGAGCTCGCCCGGCCGCCCAGCACTTCGACCTCGAGCAACTCGCGACTCGTTCTTCAGCCATCGCGCGTTCTCCATCCCCGGTTCGAGGACCGCCTCTCGCGACAAGGCTCGACGGGCAAGGCCATGTGGGTCACGTGCTGGGCCGAAGCTGTCGCCGTCCTCGCGCAAAAGGGTGCGTCCCTCGCACTCCCCTCCCTTCTCTCACAGGACGGACCCTGACGAAGCTCGCTCCTCCGCAGGCTCGTACAAGCGTCTCAACTCGTCCGCCGTCATGCTCCCTCCACGAGCCGTCACGGCGCACGTCCACTCGCTCCTCGCGCGGCGCGTCGCCCACGAGGCAGAGCTCGTCGCCGAGCGCGTCAAAGCGTGGCCGGCGGCGTCGATCCCGGACGTGCGACGAGCACCGGTGCTGCGCGTGCGGGTAGACGAACTCGAGAGCACGGCGCGCGAGCTCGACGCCGCCGGTCGGCGGCTCGTCGGCGTGCTCGACCTGTCGCCTTTGCCGTCGACGGGCGAGGTCGCCGATCCTGCGCCTCGAGGACCGTTCAGCTCCAACGTTCCTCTCGCCTCTGCCGCCTCGTCAGCCCGCCGTTACCACCTCCCGACCTTCCTCACCGGCCTCGTCCTTCCACCTTCCTCCCTTTCTCCTCCCTCACCGACCGCCGACCCGCCCGATCCCTCAGCTCACCTCCTCGCCCTCACCCGTCACCCACTCGACAGCCTCGTCGACTTTCTCTCGCGCCGCCTCGCCCGCCTCGACTCGACCTCGTCCCCTTCCCCGCCCCCACCGAGCGAGGGCGACCTCTTCGTCCTGTCGGCGCCCAAGGCGTGCGACGACGCGGCGGCGCAGCGCCAGGCCGAGGACCTCGTGCCGCTCGTGCTCGCGCTCGAGCGGTGCAGGATGTGGAGCGGCGAGGCGTGGGCGGGCGAGAGGGGGGAGGAGGAGGAGAACGCGTCGTGAGGGAGTGGGGGGTGACGACGCTCCAGCTGTAGCCGCACGCCTGCAAGCCTCTCTCGAGCTCAACAGAGAGCGAACGAGATAGGCGCGCAGGAGCCGCTACGCGGGTCAGGGACGACCTCTCGCGCGGCTTGCTGCCCCGCTCGGACCTTCTCTCTCTCTCTCGCTCGGCCCTCTCAAACTCGTCCTTCTTCTCGAGAGCGCCGACACTCGCAGGCCGCAGCTCCTCCTGTCCCACTCGCCGTCGCTCTCTCGCAAGCAACCGCACAGGACGAGAGAGTTCGCTTCTCTCGCTCGCCCGCCCGCCCGCCGCCCGCCGGGGTCCGTCCGCCCGCCCGGCTCTCTCGCGCGCTCCGCTCTCGCGCTCTCGCACGCGAACCAATGCCGCTAGTCGGGAAGGAAAGACAGGGCGTAGAAGTACAGCTATGCAGATCGAGACAGGCCTCGAGTCGCCCCCTCGACCTCGACACTGTGCAAGGCGCGACGAGGACGAGGAGAGAGAGAGCGAGAGGGGGAGGGGGAGGGAGGGGGAAGAAGAGGGGACCGCCTACAACACGTCGGTGCGCCCACGCCCTGGCGCCGTCACGACCTCAAAGCGTCTCGTCGAGATCGAGCGCTCACTTGTGGCGCTGGTACTGGGCCTGTGGGGGCGACGAAGAGGAGAGAAGGGTCAGATACTCTGGTTCCCGAAGAGGAGGGGGAGGAAAGAGAGAAAGGGGGAGGGGACGCACGACCAGCATGGCGTGGTCACGCTCGTACGGCTCGAGCGTGAGCTGCTCCCTCGGCTTGAAGCTCTCGCTCTGGAGCTTCTTGACCTCTGCGGCAAAGACGGCCTCGGCGGGCGCGGTCGAGTCGATGCACGACGCCTTGATCGAGATGACGGCGTGGCCGCCGTTCTTGAGGAAGTGGTGCGCGTTGAGGGCGACGATGCGCGCCTGGTCGGGCTGCGCCACGTCGGCAAAGACGACGTCGACCATCGAGAGCAGCATGCGGTACTTGTTCGGGTGGCGCGCGTCCTCAACGATGGCTGTTCGTGAAGCGCGAGGGATCGTCAGTACGAGATCGTGATAGAGAGAGAGACGCCGAGAGAGGGAGGGAGAGGAGGAGGGGACGCACGGATGACGTTGGTGCGCTTCTTGGCCATGTTGACGAGGTCACGGCCCGAGCGGTGCGAGAACTCGACGGCGTAGACGGTGCCCTCCTGCGAGAGTCGATGCACGAGTCAGTGACGGCGCATCAGGAGGGGGACAAAGGAGGGGAGTTGTGGACGCACCGGGCCAACGACGTCGGCGACGTGCGAGACCGAGGTACCGGACGCGGCGCCGAGGTAGAGGACCTTCTTGCCCGGGCCGATGTGGATGTCGTCGAGGCCACCGAGGATGCCGGCCGCCAACTTGGAGCGGAACGGGTTCCACACGCGGTACTCGACCTTCTCGGCGGGCAGCGACGGGTCCGAGGCATTGGGCTGCTCGATCGAGATCCGCTTCTCGCCGTACACGCTGTCGCCAGGGACGAGGTTGCGCGTGACGAGGAGGTGCTCCTTGCCCTTGGCGACAAACACGCCCGGGTGCCGGTGCGGCTCGAGGATCACCTTGGCGCCGCCCTTGGCCCCGACGCCGCCCTTTGCGCCGCCGCGTCCACCGCCACGTCCTCCACCGCCGCGGGCACCGCCACGGGGCGCACCGCCGCGTCCGCCGGCACCGCCACGGCCGCCGCCAAAGCCGCCGCCACGGCCGCCGGGGGCACCGCCGCGCGACGAGAATCCGCCGCCGCGACCACCGCCGCGACCGCCGCCCATGCCGCCACGAGGGGCGCCTGGTGGTGTGTCGGAGTCGAGGTTCGAGGGTCGAGTCGGGGTCGGGGTCGGGTCGAGGGAGGGGATGGGAGAGGGAAGCGAGTCAGTGAGTGTAGGCGGACGACGAGAGAGCGAGAGACGGACCGCGTCCACCGCCACGGCCACCGCGACCACCGCCAGGAGCGTCTGCACGGTCGCAAAGGGAGTGTGTGTCGGGGTTGGCGAGGGGCGCAGAGCACGCAGGAGGGTGAGTCGAGATGAGCGAGGGAGGGGGGAGGAGGAGGGATGGGAGGTGGCAGAGAGGGACAACGAGGAGAGGTCAGCGGGTCGTTCGACGACGTGAACGGGTCGCAAGCGGTCGACTGACTGAATGCCATGCTTGTACGAGTGGCTGGGGGAGTGTGTAGAGGCGAGCTGGAGGCGAGAGTGGGCTTGGTGCGGGCGAGTGACTTCGCTCCGAGCTCAGTTGCGTCCCACCTTTCTCGCCTCCCCTCGACCTTACCTTCCAGTTTCGCACCGCTGCGCCCGTATCTCCCCACCTCGACCCGAACCTCACCTCGACCGCGCACCCTCGGCCACCGCGCACACCATGTCGAACAACCCCGCCGACGACTACCCGTCCACCGCCGCCTTTACCCCGACCTCGCGCTTCCTCGTCGCCCTCTCGTCCTTCCGCGCCATGCACCTCCGCGACCCCTCGTCTCCCACCACCGCCGCCGACGAGCCCGCACCAGCACCAGCACCGGGTGCGAGCACGCCCTCGCTGCGGTACCACTCGACGCTCGAGCTGTACGCGCGCAAGCTCAGCGCGCTGTCGACCGTCGACGCGCTGCGGCGAGGGCCCGGCGAGGCACTGTTGCTCGCTGCTGCGTCGCAGCACGTCAGGAGGTGGGAGCGGCCGCGCAAGGACTATGCAGAGGGGCTCAGCGGGTACAAGATGTGGCGGGTGCGTCCCCTCTCCTCCCTTTCCTCCTCCCTCCCCGCCGCCCGTCGCTCACCGACTGACCTCGCCCCCGCCCGCGCCCCACACCGTACCGCAGACGGCGCTCAACAAGTTCCACGCCGACATTGCGCACGACGTCATGCGGCAGGCGGGCTACGTCGAGGACGATGAGGGCGACGCCGAGCTGTTTGGGCGCGTGCGCGACTTGCTCCTCAAGAAGACGCTCCAGAGGGCGCCGTTGCCGGAGCGCGAGGACGAGCTCAAAGGTGCGTCTCGAGTCTCTCTCTCTCTCTCTCTCTCTCTCTGAGCGCCGATGTGCGTCGTAGCGAGGGCGGCGTCGAGCGAACGACCGACTGACCCTCCCTCGTCCCGCGTCCTCTCCTTCCTCCCCCCTCTTTCCCGCCGCACCACGCGCAGACCCCGAAGCGCACCTGTTCGAAGACGCCGTGTGCTGCACCTTTCTGCACCTCGAGTTTACCCAGTTCGCGTCGTCGTTTGCGGGCGACCGCGACAAGCTCGTGCGGCTCGTCGCCAAGACGTGGGCCAAGATGGGCCCGCTCGGGAGGGGGGTTGCGGTGCAGGAGCTGGTGGGCAAGCTGGGCGACGAGGAGAGGCAGGTGGTGCTCGATGCGGTAAAGGGCGCGGGCGCGGCGGCGGCGTGAGGCGGTCGCGCGCTGAGGTGGGTCGAGCGGCGGGGTCAGGTGGGAAGAAGCGTGGGCAGTGGGGACGTAGAGGGGGCTCGGTAGCTGTGTGATAGAGACTCGTGCATCGATTGCAGTAGACACAGCTCTGCACAGTGCTGGGGTTGACGAGAGAGAGCTTCATCAGTTGGCCTCGAGCTCGAGACTCGCCTGACACTCCGGCCGGCTCTCTCTCCTCGCTCACCCGCTCCAGCGCTAGCTGCTCTGAGCCCATGTCCGACTCGGAGGACCACTCGCACCACAGCGGCGGCAGCAGCAGCAGCGCCGCCTCGCGCAGCCCGTCGCCCGCACCAGTCGCCTCGACCTCGCGCACCACCACCACCACCAAGGACAAGGCGACGCTCGTGCCCGCCGGCGGCATGCTCACGACCGAGACCAAGTCGACCGCGACGTTCGCCTCGCTCGGGCTCCTGCCCGCCCTGTGCGACGCGTGCGCCTCGCTCGGGTTCACGGCGCCGTCCCAGATCCAGGAGGAGTGCGTCCCTTACGCCATCGAGGGGCGCGACATTATCGGCCTCGCCCAGACGGGATCGGGCAAGACGGCCGCGTTTGCGCTCCCCATCTTGCACCACCTGTGGGAAGACCCGCAGGGCTTGTTCGCCGTCGTGCTCGCCCCGACTCGGTGCGTCCCGCCTCTCTCTCTCTCTCTCTCGTGGGGGCATCTCTCGTCGAGCGCACTGGACTCACTCGACCCCGGCGGCAACAGCGAGCTCGCGTACCAGATCAGCGACACGTTCACGGCGCTCGGGAGCGGCATCGGCGTTCGCGTCGCCACCATCGTCGGCGGCATGGACACGATGGCCCAGCAGGTCGCCCTCGCCAAGAAGCCTCACGTCATCGTCGCGACGCCCGGTCGCCTCCAGGACCACCTCGAGAACACCAAAGGGTTCTCGCTCCGCAACTTGCGCTACTTGGTGCGTCCGCGGCCGTTCCGCTGGGGGCAGCTTGTCCGGCCTTGGCTCGACGAGTCGGCGCCCACGTGGACGTGAATTGCCCTGACACTCTCCTCCCCAACTCCCGCAGGTCCTCGACGAGGCGGACCGCCTGCTCGACCTCGACTTTGGGCCCGTCATCGACAAGATCCTCAAGGTGATCCCGCGCGAGGGTCGCCGCACGTACCTGTTCTCGGCGACCATGACGACCAAGGTGGCCAAGCTGCAGCGCGCGTCGTTGCGCGACCCGGTCAAGCTCGAGGTGTCGAGCAAGTACCAGACCGTGTCGACCCTGCTCCAGTACTACCTCCTCGTCCCGCTCAAGCACAAGGACCTCCACCTCGTGCACCTCCTCCACACCCTGTCGGGCCTCACGACCATCGTCTTTGTGCGCACCGTCGTCGACGCCCAACGGCTCGCCATCCTCTTGCGCCTCTTGGCCTTCCCGGCCGTGCCGCTCCACGGCCAGCTGTCCCAGTCGGCGCGCCTCGGTGCCCTCAACAAGTTCAAGTCGGGCAACAAGTCGATCCTGCTCGCGACCGACGTTGCCAGTCGCGGACTCGACATTCCCTCGGTCGACCTCGTCGTCAACTATGACCTGCCGACCAACTCGAAGGACTACATCCACCGCGTCGGGCGCACGGCGAGGGCGGGTCGCAGTGGCAAGAGTGTCACGCTCGTGACGCAGTACGACGTCGAGCTGTTCCAGCGCATCGAGGGTGCGTCCCTCCCTCCCTGCGTCCTCGTTTCTCTCCTTTCGCCAGCCGGACTGACTTTGCCTTTCTCTCCCTACCTCCTCTCTCTCTCTCTCTCTCTCTCTCTCTCTCTCACACACACCCTCCCACCCTCCAACCGCGTCGCTCGCCGCACCCCGCACCCCGCGCCTCGCAGGCGTCATCGGCAAGAAGATGGACGAGTACCCGCTCGGCGCATCGGGCAAAGCCGAGGCGCTCCTCCTCTCGGAGCGCGTCGGCGAGGCCCAGCGCGAGGCCATCCGCGAGGTCAAGGAGCTCCAGCTCGGGGGGTCGCTCGGCAACAAGGGCAAGAAGCGCCGCGCCCAGGACGAGGGGGACGAGCGCGACCGCGACGACGATGAGCGCGAGGCGGGCATGCCGCGCGTTGGGGGTGGCGGTGGCGGTGGCGGTGGGCGCGGTCGAGGAGGCGCGAGGGGCGGACGGGGAGGCGGCGGTGGGCGCGGTGGCGGTGGAGGAAAGAGGGGCCGCAGGTAGAGCCGCTCGGGCCGCGCTCTGCAACGCCGTCCCGTCACGACGACCCTTCTGCCTCTCTTTCCTCTCGAGCAGCCTCTCGTCGAGAAGCGAGGCTTCTCTCCTTTGTGAAGGGAGAGCGAGAGCGAAAGCGATGAGCAGCAGTGACTCGAGAGCTCGTGAAAAGGCGCGTCGGCATTGCCGCTCAAGCTCCTCCCGGTCCTTCCCTCCCACCCTCTCTCGCTCCGCCATCCTCGTCCCTCCCCTCGCCCATCGTCGTCGCCGCCGCCGCGAACCCGAGCGACCCGCGGTCGAGCCACCTCGTGAGCAAGTCGGTGCCCGGGCCCTCGCCTCCTCCTCCTCCTCCTCCTCCTCCGCCGCCGCCGCCAGGGTCGTCGTCGCCCATCATGTCGCCGCCGACGCCCGTGCCCATGTCCATGCCCATGCCCGGCGCAGGACTCGGCGCGGCGCTCGGGAAGGGCGATGGCGCGCCGGGGAGGCTCGAGAGCGCGCTCGAGTGCGGGTGCGGGTGCGCGTTTGGGTGCGACGAGGGTGCGGACGACGAGGGCGGTGCGGCAGGGAGGTGGTGAGGGTGAGGGTGAGGGTGAGGTGGGAGCGACGGCGGCGAGATGGTCATCGGGTGGAAGGGCTGCTGGGCGTGCGTCGGCGAGGGAAAGTAGGCGGGGACCGAGCCGGCGCTGCCGAGCCCGCCGCCTGCGCCCGGCGTCGACATCGACATGCCGGGGCTGCTGCGCGGCGCCGAGTGTTGCTGCTGCTGCTGCTGCTGCTGTGACGGTGGGCCCGGCGGGTACGCTCCGCCGAGGACGCCCTCGATCGGGAGCGGGAGCGAGAGCGAGCCGTGCGTCGCGGCGCCCGACCCGCCGCCGCTCGTCGGGTCGGCCCACCCTGCAAGCGGCTGCCACGCGCCGGCGTTCGAGAACGCCATGCCGTGCTCGCCTCCCGCTCCTCCTCCTGCTGCTCCTCCTCCCTCGCCGCCGAACCCGCCCATGCTCCCTCCCGCACCTCCCGCCATCGTGGTCGCCGCCGCCGGGTCCATGACGAGACCGAGGCTGACGAGCAAGTCGGTCTGGTCCCACGAGCCAAAGTCGAGCACGGTCGACGGGTGCGCGCCCGGCCCGAGGTCGTGGCTGAAGCCGAGGAAGGCCTGGAACGGCTCGGCGATGGGTGCCGGGGCAGGGACGGCGTACGGCGAAGGGTGCGCAGAGGTGGTCGGGTGAACGCCTGCGAGAAAGAGAGAGGCGAGTCAGTTGATGCTCGAGGAAAGTGGGAGGGAGAGAGAGAGAGGAAGAGGACGTCGTCGAATGACGCACCACGCAAGAGACCCAGCTCGCGCTTGTGCTCGTCGACCTTGGTCGCCAACCGGACCCAACTCTCCCTCGCCGTCGGCCACACCCTGCCGAGCTCGTCGTACGCCCTCAGGACCGAGTCGTGGTGGTGCGGCGCATAGTCGGTCTGCTCGAACAGGGCGCGCGACAGGATGTCGAGCGTGACGTCGACCGTCGGGAGCGACCGCAGGAGCGTGAACGAGGTGCGGAACTGGCCGAGGACGTGGTTGAGGAGGCCGAGCGCCTGCGGGACAGGGTCGAGCGTCACGCTCGCGAACGACCTGTAGCAGGGCGAGGGCAAAGAGTCAGTGGCTGCACATGCGGTGGAAGGCCGAGATCATGGGCGGAGAGAGGAAGAATGGCGACGCACGGGTGCGGCCGCAGCTTGAGGTACAGGGCGGCGACGAGCATCTGCATCTCGACGGTCCACCTCGCCCTCTCTCCAACCCGCTCGACGCTCCCCCTCGCGTCGCCGAGCCGCAAGTCGCCCTCGAGCTGCTCCTCCCACGCGGCGAGCCCGGCGACGAGCTCTGCGCGCTCCTGCTCGCCCGCGGCGAGCCCTTGACCGTTGCCCCGGCGCGGGCACGCCGACCAGCGCAGGATGCCGAGCGCGACGGCGCACAGCTGGGCGAGGCGCGCGAACGTGACGAGCGCGTTGCTGCGCACGGCGGGTGGCGCGCCGGCCCCTCCTGCCCCTCCTGCTCCTCCTCCCGCCCCCGAGGTCGACGCCAGCTCTCCCGCTCTGCTGCCACCCTCTTGCGCGCCACCCTCGCCCGACGCTCCACCCGAGCCACCGCCCGCGCCTCCAGCCGTCGCCGCCCCCGCGCCCCACTCGTCGCGCAGCTCGGCCGCGCCCTTGTCCCCCCTCCACAGCTCCCAGTTGTCCGCCTCGTCGACGGGCGGGATCGGCACGTCATAGTCCTCGAGGACCGTGAGCGGCGGCCGGTCGAGGCGTAGCGCGACGAGCGCGTGCACGATGAGGACGGCGTGGAACGTGCGCAGCTTGAAGTGGTGCGGGTCGGGCGGGAGCGACGACGAGAGGTGCAGGGAGAGGGAGAGGGCGAGCGCGAGCGCGAGCGAGGACAGGGTCCATGCGCGCGAGAGGGCGCCCGAGCCCCAGTCAAACAGGGCGAGGAGGACCGCCGCTTGAACCGTCTCGAGCGTGACGCCGCCGCCGCCGCCGCCGCCCGGGCTGCCCGCCGCCGCCGACGAGGCGAGCACGTCGCGCATGAGGTGTGCGCGTGCGGCGTGCGCAAAGACGTGCGGCGCGTGCGTCGAGCGCGCGAGGTGCGAGTCGGGCGCGAGGTACGACGCCGAGAGGGCAAAGACGGCGAGGTACAGGGCGGGCGGGAGGTGAGGGCCGGTCGAGGTCGTCGCGGCGGTGGACGGGATCGAGGGCGGGTTCGAGGTCGAGGTCGAGTTTGGAAGAGGGTGAGGGTACGAGGGGAGGTGCGCTGACCAGCGCAGGAAGCGTGACTTGTCCTGCGACGAAAAGCAAAGTGATCGTCAAGGTCTGGGTCGAGACGACGCTCCCGTCCCGCATCGCGAGAGAAAGAGGAGAGGCAAGTCGACGCACGAGCATGGGCAAGCACGTCTGTCCGACCTGGTTGAAGTACAGGTCGAGGAGGACGTTCCTCGTCGCCTCGCCGGGCAGCTCTGGCACGCCGAGCTCGCCGTCGCCGTCGCCGTCGAGTGCACCACCGTGTCCGCCGCCGCCCTTGCCGCCACCACCGATGGACCCACCGTCAAAGTCGGGCACGGCCGCGTCGGCGAGCGCGTGCAGCGACAGGGGCGCGCCGTGGCCGTGCGCGTGCGGGAAAGCGACCGGCGGCGGGTGGCCCGGCCCACGCAGTGCAGCACTCGCGGTTGCAGCGCCGAAACCGATCGGCGGAGGCGCCGGGAGCGCGCCGTACGGGTTGTCGAGCGGCGCCGGCGGGCCGAACAGGTGCGACGCGTCCTCGACTTTGGGGCGTCCGCTCGCTCCTCCTCCTGCTCCTGCTGCACCGGGCGCACCGGACGACGACGCGCGTTTGGCGCTCAACGTTGCCGACGACGTCTTGGCGGCCTCGCGCGCCGGTACGAGCGGCGGCAGGACCGAGTCCATGAGGTCCGGGATGCGGCTCGAGGCGTACGTCGCCTGGTGCGCGTCGGCGGCCGTCATTGGCGTGCTCGAGGTCGGGTCGACAGGCGCCTGTGGGTGCGAGGGAAGCCGCGAGGTGCTGCTGGCGCCGTCGGGCGAGGGCGAGAAGGCGGATGCGGAGGATGGGTTGAGGGCGACGAACGTCTCGACGTGCGCCTCGAGCGAGGGGACGATGGGGAGGAGGTAACCCTGCGCGCGAGCGGGCGTGTCAGTGCAAGGACGGACACGGTCCCGGGCAAGAAAGAGGACAGGTCGGACGCACGAGGAGGCGCTCGAACGCCGAGCAGCGCTCCTCGAGGCTCTTTGCCTTGCCCGCCTGGGGCCCGCGCTTCTTGGCCGGGCGGGAAAAGGTGCAGCCGTCTGCGTGGCCGGCCTCGGTGCAGATGACGCACGGCGCATCGAGGTCGGCGCGCGGGTACGCCTCGCACTTGATGCGGCGGCGGCGGCACCTGCGTTGGTCGCGAGACGGGAGTGAGCTGCGCGAGTTCCTCGGCGAGTGAGAGAAAGAGAGAGACAAGACGCAACTGGTCGCAGGCTCGAGTGACGCGGCGCTTCTTCTGCGGGTGGTCGCCGTCCGAGTCGGCCATGGCGGTGGTGGACCGAGGCCGCGGCAAGGCGCGAGGTGGCCTCGTGGGCTCGGGTCGCGCGACCAGGGCGGGTTAAAGGGCCGTGAGGGTGGTAGGGGCGAGGCTTGGTGGGGCGAGTGGACCGAGGTCGTGGACGAGGCGATCAGCGGGAGCGAGATGGATGGGCGAGGAGGTGGACGAGGACTAGGGTTGCTCTACGAGCGAGGGGCGGTCGCGGGGGGCCGGCTCGAGCTGCAGTGGGCTCTCGAGGGGTGCTCGCCAGAGCGTGGCAAGCAGTGGTGCACACGTAGCAGGAGGAGGAGGGGGAGGAGCGCGGCCCCGCGTTTCGGCGGGTTTTGTCTCCGCGGCGGCCGGGCCAAAACCCGATCGCGCCTCGTCCCCTCTTCCAAGTCCTCCTCGTCTCGCTCTCCTCGCCCTGCTCGCCTGCTGCACGTCTGCTCCGCTACGAGCTCGCATGGCTCTGCTCGACCCGCACGCCGCACCGTCGGCCCCAACCGCCGGCCCTTCCTCGTCCTCGTCCTCCGGTCCGCCTCCCGCCCGCTCCACCACCTCGAACAACACCGCCGCACCAGCCACCAAGCGGCCTCGCCAGTCTCGTCGCACACCGAGACCGCCCCTGTACGACCCAGATGCCACCATCGTCCTCATCGGCATGCGTCAGTCCCTCTTCTCCTCCTCCCCCTCCCTCTTCTCCCCCTCTTCCCGACAAGGTGGGGCGCAGCCTCGCGAGCGCACACGCGCTCAGCGCAGCGCGCACCTCGAGGCGCAAACTCGAGCACATCGACATGTGCGCCAAACGCAGAGAGCCAGTCACTGACTCGTCCACTCTCTCGCGCCCGCGCAGGCGGCGTCGGCAAGACGACCCTGGGCCTCATCGCCGCGACGTCGCTCCGCCGCAGCTTCATCGACGCCGACTCTGCGTTCCAGACCCTCCACGGCCCAATCTCGCAGTTCGTCAACACGCACGGCTGGTCCGCCTTCCGTGACGCCGAGACGCGCATCCTCGCCCAGCTCCTGCGCGAGCACCCGCGCGGCTACGTCGTCGCGTGCGGCGGCGGCGTCGTCGAGCGCGACGAGAACCGCGAGCTCCTCGCCAGGTTCCGCGACGACCAAGGGTGCCCGATCGTGCACGTCGTGCGCGACAAGGAGGAGACGGTGCGGTACCTCGTCGACGAGCAGGCTCGGTGCGCTCCCACTCTCTCTATTCTCTTCCTTAAAAACCGTCGCACTGACTTGCACGGCATTGCGCACGCAGACCCGCCTGGGGCGAGGAGATCCGCCACGTGTGGGCGCGCCGCACCCCCCACTTCGAGTCGCTGTGCACCCACACGATCGCGTCCCTGACGGCCTACCCGCGCCCGCCGTCGCCTCAGTTTCTCATGAAGCACGTCGAGACGGCCTTTGTCCGCCTCCTGCGCTCCATCTTTGGGTTCGCCTCGTCGCACGTCCCGCTCGTCGCCGGCCCGCGCCCGCCACCCGTCAGCGGGCCGAGCAGCGGCGAGTACGGCGGGTACGGCGCGTGCGAGTCTGAGCTCGGGCGCGGCGCCAAAGGCCCGAGGACGAGCTTTGTCGCGCTCAATTTCCCCGACCTGCGCGTCGTCGCCGCCGAGACGATCCTGCGCGTCGCCGGCGGCGTCGACGTCATCGAGATGCGCGTCGACACGCTCGTCGAGGTCGAGGCGGCGCCGCCGTTCTCGCGCGTCGGGTCGCCCGACGTCGGCGCGGGCCCAGGCGCCGGCGTCGGCGCAGGTCCGAGCGGCACGAGGTCGGCGCCGAGGTCGGGCACGGCGACGCCAACGGCGGCTCCCCGTCGTCGGCGCATCCCGTCGCCGCACTTTGTCGCGCTGTGCTTCGGTCACCTGCGGCGGTGCTCGCCGCTCCCGATCCTGTTCACCGTGCGCACGTCCAAGCAGGGCGGCGCGTTCCCGGACCCGTACAACGAGCACCCGGACCTCATGGCCGAGTACGTCGCGCTCGTCGAGCTCGGCTTCAAGCTCGGCGCAGAGTACGTCGATGTCGAGCTCGCCCTGCCCGACAACGTCATCGAGCGCCTGTTGGCCCTGCGCGGCGCGGCGACCCAGGTCCTCGGCGCCGATCACGACCGGCGCGGCGAGTGGCAGTGGATGAGCGACGCCGTGCTCGCCAAGTACAAGCGCGCGGCGAGGCTCGGGTGCGACGTCATCAAGCTCGTGTCGACCCCGACCTCGTTCGAGTCGAACCTCGAGCTCCTCAAGTTTCGCGCACGGTGCGACGCGCTCGACCTCGACGACGACGACGACCTCGACGGCAACGGCGGCAACAACGGCGTCGACGGCGACGACGACGGCGGCGAGGGCCCGTCGCGGCGCATCCCGCTCCTCGCCATCAACCTCGGCAAGGGCGGCCAGATTTCGCGGTACCTCAACCCGGTCCTGACGCCCGTCACGCACCCGCTCCTGCCCGGCGTCGCCGCCCCAGGCCAGCTCACGTACGCCCAGACGCAACAAGCCCTGTTCCTGTCGGGCCTCATCCTCGAAAAGACCTTTTTCGTCCCCTCGGCCGCCGTCGCCGATGCCTTTTCGCGCGAGGCCCTCGTCCTCGGCCTCCCGTACACGTTCCTCGTCGAGGACCGCCTCGCATTGCGCGCGACCGAGCCCAACTTTGGCGGCGCGTACCTCGGCGCGCCGTCGAGCCCCCTCGCCGTGTCGACCCTGCCCTCGTCGGACGAGGTGCTCCCGCCCGCACGCGCCACGTCGTGGGCCGACCTGTGCGTCCCGGCGTGCGACTCGCCCCTGTCGTACGACGTGGCGCCTCGGGCACTCGGCCACTTCAAGCACACGAACGTGCGCGTGCTCGCGCTCGCCGAGGTCATTACGCAGAACCTGAGCCCGATCAACGCGGTTGGGACGCACACGTGCGCGCTCTTGGTCGGGCTCGCGAGGCGGGACCGGCGCGAGGTCGAGGAGGCGCTGAGGATGGTCGGCGCGCGGTGGGTCTTCTTGCTCGCGTGCGAGGAGGACGACGCCGACGACGCCATGGCGCTCGACGCCCCGCTCGGGCCTGCCCCTCCTTCTTCCTCCGCCGCCGCCTCTCGCTCCGACTCGCCCGCACCCGCACCGACACCCTCATCGTCCACCGCGGGCGCCGCCGGGCCCTCGACAGCGTCCTCGAGCCTCCCCTACCCCCAGCACGCCCCACTCACCCTCATCCCGCTCTCGTCCCTCGCCGACCCGGCCCTGTACGCCAAACGCGCGCCGACCATCATCGTCTCGAGCGACGCGGGCCCCGGCGCCGTGCGGTTCCACGACCGCCTGTTTGCGAGCCCGACGGGCGGCGCCGCGCTCGACTTGAGCTTGGCGGTCGGGATGGCCGGCGGCGCCGGGGTGGGCGGGGCGGTGGGAGGAGCTGCGGGTGCGGGAGGAGCGCCGCCGGGCGCGAGGAGAGGGCTCCTGAGCGCCGCGATCGAGGGCAAGCGCGAGCGCGCTCGCGCCGCTTCGTCGGCGGCTCAGCAGCTGCAGAACGGCGGCGGCGGCGTCGCGAGCGCATCAGGAGCAGGAGCGGGTGCGGGAGCGGGTGCGGGAGCGGGAGGCAAGGGCGCGCGCGTCGTCGCCGACGGGTGGCAGGTGCTCGGCGCGCGCGAGGTGCAGGCCGAGTGCGAGCGGCAGGCGTTCAGGGCGCTGACGGGGCGCAGGATGGGGGGCTGAGCGCAGCAGGCGGCGCGGACTGTACGGCGGCTCGGCTCGAGTCCGGCGCAAAAGACACTTTCCTCTCTTCGGGCTCGCATTCTCTCGTTCTCGCTCGCGGAAAGGGAAGAAAGAGAGAGAAAAGTACAGCGGCAGTGCAACGACGGCAGGAGGGAAAGATGCGAGTGACACAACAAGTACAGCACGAGAGGGAAAGACGCCCTGAGGAAAGGAGAGGAGGGAGAAGAGAGAGGGGGGGTCGAGCGCGTCTATGCCGAATCGGCCTGCGCCCGGAGCTTGTCGACGCCGCCCGCCTTGGCGATCCTGCGCACACAATCGAGAGAGTGTCAGTACATGCTCGACGAGGACATGCAGGCCGTCTGGAGCGAGACAGAGAGAGAGAGAGAGAGAGGGGGAGAAGGGGGACGCACGCTCGCTTGAGCTCGCCGGGCGTCTTCTGCCACACGTTGCCCTTGCGGTCCCTCGCCATGGCCGTCAGGTCGTCGCCGTGCTTGCGAACGAGGTCGACGAGCCACTTGTGCTCAAACTCGGACGTGTGCCGGATCACCTTGGTCTTGCGCGAAGCGCGCTCCTCGAGTGCTGCGGGGCCAAAGGACGGGCTCGTCAGGACTCTGTATTCTCGAGAGGGAGAGCGGGAGAGAGGAGGACGCACCGCGGACGACGTCCGTCTTTGCCTCGACCGCCAGGCCGGCGCCAAAGATGGGGATGCCCTGGCGCACGTCCTTGGCCTTTGCGACGCCCTCGGTCGCACCAAAGTCGCTCTCGACCGCCGGTGCCGCGTCCCAGTCCTTCATCGGCCGCCCCCACGGCGTCGCGTCGCCCTCGTCGGCGTCGCCGCCCGGCGCCGCCCTGCCTTTGCCCTTGCCCTTGGCCCGCTTGTCGCCCTTCTTGCCCGCCTTGACCACCTTGTCCTGCGCCTCGTCGGCGTCGTCGTCGTCGTCCTCGTCCGACGACTCGCCCGTGCGGTCCGGGGCGTGCACCTTCTCCTCGACCTCTGCGCCATCGGCCGTGCCGACAATGATGCTCACGACGTTGCCCTGCTCGTCGCGCACGATGCGCGCCATGCCCGGCTTGAGCGCCTCCTTGTGCTCCTCCGCCTTCTTCGAGTCGTCCTTGTCGGGCTCGTCGTCCGAGTCGGACTCGTCGTCGTCGTCGTCGGCGGCGGCCATGGCGGCATCGAGGTCGTCGACGGTCGCGCGCGAGGCGGCGGCGATGGCGAGCGGGACGCGGGTTTCGGGCTCGAGGCCGCCCGTCTGGCGCGGGTCGAGGGTCGGGAGGAGCCCGAGGGCGGCGTAGCTGTGCGTGGGCGAGGGTCAGCTGTTGGTGGGCGGGGGGAGGGAGATGAGGAGGGGAGAAGGGGGCGCACTTCTGGCGGACGGTCTTGCTGCAGGGGTGGGGGCACACAGGGTCAGTGTACTGTGACCACGCACGCACGACAGGAGAAGGGACGCACGACTTGTCCCAGTTGTCGGCGAGGATGGCCGGACCCTTGATGGTCACCTTGTGCAGGTTCTTCTTGCTGGCCTTTGAGATGCCGGCCTTTGCGACGCTGCTGCGCTGCTTGCGCTTCTGGCGAGGGTTGGCCATGGGCTCGACTGAGGTGTGGTGAGCGGGAGGGCCGTGGTGATGAGGAGCTCAGAGGTCGAGTCCGCGCTCAGCCAGAAGGGGGCGGTGCAGCTCGTCGCTCGCTCGCTCGCTCGGACCCTCTCTCTCTCTCGCTGGCATAAGTTCAAGCTGGCCATGCATGCAATCAAGCCCACCCGCTAAGCCCCCTCCCTCCCTCCCTCACTCAGGCCGCACGTAATCCAACCTCTCGGTCCTCCTCCACACCTCCCTCACGAGCCTGTCCTGCGCCTCGCGCTCCGTCTCCCCCTCGGTCCCCGCACACGCCCGCACGGCGAGGTACAGCCTCGAGCCGATGCCGGCGTCCGGGATCGCGAGCGACCGGTCCGTCAGGTAAGCCTCGCTCGGCGGCTGCGAGGGCACGACGCGCCCGCCGGCTTCGGCGATGATGATCATGCCCGCGCACACGTCCTGCGCGCGCACGACGAGGGCGAGTGAGTCAGTCTGTGCGTCGACGAACTGGGGCCACAGCCGAAGCGGCGGCTCGAGGGGGAGCGGCCGCCTCGACTTGACGAGGGAGGGAAACCGCCGACGCACCCATTCCCAGCAGCTGCGCGAGGAGGAAAGAGAGGTGGGGGAGGAAAGACGTGGTTCGTCAGGTCTGTGGCGCTGCGGCGGGTCGTGCTGCACGGCGCTAGCAGGCTCGACGGGGGCGAACGCCGCCGCCGAGCTGCTGCCGCACACGCGCGCCCCCGAAAGAGAGAGAGAGAGAGAGAAACGCGAGGGGACGCACCCTCCCTCCCAGAAAATGTCGACCGCGCCCGTCGCGACGTACACCAAGTCGAGGGCCGCGCTGCCCAAGCTCCTCACGCCGTGCACCATGCCGCCCTTTCCCCCCCTGCCCCCGACCTCGGCCGCCATGTTGATGAACGACGTGCTCTTCTTGACGAGGTTGGACCCGGGCGCGTCCGAGCGCGCCTTGCCCCACTCGGCCGTGAACAGGCACCCTTTCGGCGCGTCGGCCGGCAGCGGTTGCGGCGGGATGTACGGCAGCGGGACGGCGTGCGCCCAGGGCTGGGGCTTGTCCTTGGGCGACGGCGACGGCGACGGCGACGAGGTGCCGTTCTGCTGCTGCTCCTGCTGCTGGTGGTGGGCGGCCGAGCCGGACGGGGCAGAGGACGACGCCGACGCCGACGCCGACGCCGACGCCGAGGTGGAAGAGGGCGGCGGCGACAGGCACGACGGCGAGTACGGGAACGAGACGGGCGTCGACCACGCGCCGAGGCTCTTGGCGCCCGAGTAGAGCGCGCCCGACGCGTTGGTCGGGTGCAGCCCGCTCAGGAGCGGCGCAAAGATGGCGCCGACGACGGGGACCTTGCTGTGGGCGCAGGACTGCCGGGTCAACGAGATGTCGCTCGAGAGTGCGCGAGGTCTAGACTCGAGGAGAGAGAGAGAGAGAGGGACTCACTTGACGCAGAAGCCGACCGAGACGCAGCAGGTCGGGAACAGGTGGACAAAGTTGACCGTCTGCGTGCGCGAGACTGTGGGTCAGTCTCGTCCCCGAGCCTGGGAGACACACAGAGAGAGAGAGAGAGAGAGAGAGCCGACGCACGCCGTCGAGCGGGTCGATGATCCAGGTCGGGTCGTCGTCGAGGAGGAAGCGCTTGTCCTGCCCGGCCGAGTATGACTCCTCGCCGATGATCCTGCGCGCGACGCACAGAGAGGCACAGTCAGTTCCTCGCGCCACTGTGGACCTGGGAGGAGGAGGGGGAACCTGCCGACGCACTTGTGAGTCGGGTACCGCTGCTTGATGGCGTTGGTGATGAGCTGCTCCGAATGCATGTCGGCGTGCGTGACAATGTCGGCCGCGTTCTCCTTGATCTCGATCGAGCGGTCGAGGTGGCCCGATGCTCCGCCGGCGCGGGTGCGCGCAAGCTGCTGGTCGCGCAGGTAGGCGCCGGCCTCGCACGCGATGTCGGCGGCGAACCGGTGCAGCTCGTCGAGGTCAAAGTCGGAGAGCGAGGGCATGGTCCGAGGCGGGCGACAGCGGGCGTGGTCGAGCCGAGGAGGAGGGGGGAGAGGGAGCGGGGGTGGGGAGGTCGAGGTGGGAACAAGCGCGGACGGGCGTCGGCGGGTACCGGAGCGCAGGGAGAGCCTTGTCCAGGGGCTGTGCGGTGCTTCAGAGCTGATCCGAGCGAGTGAGCTGACGAGAGCAGAGCCAGTCTTGCTCGGCCGGTGTCGCCTCCTCTCGCCTCACCGCCACACCCTGTGCTCGCTTGTACGGGCCCGCTCGCCGGCTTTGGAGCCCTCTCGTGGCTGTTGGGGCCATTCGCTGTCATCCGGTCCGCCCTCACCGCATGCGACGAGCCCGGCCTCGTCTCCCTCGCCGCTTCATCTCTCGCAACGCCATGCCGGCGCACATGGGCTCGCCAGCTGCGGCAGGGCGCCTGGCACCACTCTGCAGGGTGCTGGCTCGGCGACGACGACGCGCCATGCCCGCGCGCGGCGCTCTCCGCTCCGCACCAGCGCTCCTCCTTGCTCGCTCGCTTCTCCCATGGCCGCCCGGTCGCCCGCCGTCGCTGCTCCGGCCTGGCTGAGCAGCCACCTTTCGTCAAAGAGCTTCTCGGTGGCACGCGCTTTCCAGCGTCAGCCAGTTCGAGGCCGGTTCCCTCGCTCTGTCGCTCTCGTGCCTCGTCCTCGCGCAGCTTCGGCGCCTCGCGCTCCGCTCAGGCCGGCTCGTCCTTGCGTCTCTCGAGCTGCCTCGCCAACGTGCCTTTAGCTCGAGTGCGGTCGCGCACCGCGGTCGTCTCTCCCCTCTCGTCTCGGCTTCAGAACCGCGCCTCGAGTCCTTTGCGACGCTGCGGAGCGAGGCTCGCTCGGGCCACCTTGTCCTCGTCAAGAGAGTGTCGATTCGAGATCTAGAACTGCACTGCACTGAAGCGAGAACGAGCAGAAGAGTGCGAGGCGCTGGCTGCGGTAAAAGATCTGGCGAGCCAGGGACCGTCGCGCGTCGACCGCGGCCGCCGGCCGCCCACACGAGCGAGAGCCTCGGCGAGCCCTGGTGCTCGTCTCCCCCACTCAAGCCCCAGCTGCTGTACCCTGCTCTCTTCTACGTACACCACTGCACGCCCTCCCGCCCTTGTCGACCGACGCAGCGTGAGTGCCACCCTCCTCGTCCTCATCAGCTCGCCGGATCCCCACCTCGTTTCCCTCAACGACGACACTCACTGACGAAACCTTGACCTTTCACAAACCTCCAGCACTTTTGCCACTACAGCCTTCGCTACCTTGTGCGTCCCTCCTCTCGGTATTGACGGCAGAGGAGGTGGGCCAGGTGGGGTCGAGATGCCGCGGCCCCCTCGGCAGCGGGCCAGCGAGGCGGGCTGAACGCCCAAGGCGCTCGACGGGACGCAGACCGGAGCACATGAGAGTCGCGGTCGGGCATGGGCGGTCGAACTCGAGGAGCGGCAGCATCCCTCGTCTGCCAGAGCTGATCGCCCTCGCCCTCGCCCCTTGCAGACTCGCCATGTCCGCCGCACTCGAAGCCGCCCGCGCCGAGGGCCCCAAGACGCACCGCCTGTTCGGTTACCCGCTCCACGGCTCGTACGCGAGCTTCCTCCACAACACGATCACGCGCCTCGTCGACGTGCCGCGCAAGTACTCGTTCATGGAAAGCACCGACATGGACGCCTTCCTCGAGTACCTCCGCAGCGACGAGTGCGCCGGTTCCGCTGTCACCATGTGCGTCCCCGCCCCCCTTCTTCCTCGCCGCCGGCGAAAGAAACCCGAGCCGACGAGCGCCTCCCTCCCCTCTCCACAGGCCGCACAAGGTCGCCATCTGCCAGCACCTCGACGAGCTCACCGAGGACGGCCGCAACATTGGCGCGTGCAACACGGTCATCATCCGCAAAGGGCCTAACGGCGAGCGCAAGCTCGTCGGGCACAACACCGAGTGCGTCCTCGCTCCCTCGGGAGCTCGAGACGGCGTCGCCGGTTGGGCGGGCGAGGGCACCTTTGCGCAGCTCTCGCCGTGTCCATAGGGTGCGCCTGATCTCCTGACCATGCTCTGTCGCCCGCAGCTCGGTCGGCGTCCGCGAGTCGATCCTGCGCGCCGACGACTCGCACGTCAAGTCGGGCAAGATCCGCCCGGGCGCAGTCTTCGGCGCTGGAGGTGCCTGCCGGTGCGTCCCTCGCCTCTCTCTGTGTGAATCGAGGCGTCTCTGCGACGACGAGCTGACCTTGCCCCGTCCCCACCTCGCCTCGCCTCGTCGTCCTCCACTCGCCTTCCCGCCTCGCCCTGCCCCGCCACAGCGCCGCCGTGTACGCCCTCACCCAGTGGCTCAACTGCTCGCCCATCTACGTCGTCAACCGCGACGACGCCGAGGTCGACCAGTTCATCGCCGACTTTAAGCGCATGACGTCCGACTCGTTCAAGCCCGAACTCGTCCACGTCAAGACGGTCGAGCAGGCCGACCAGCTCGACGCACCCGCCTACATCGTGTCGGCCGTGCCCGACTTTCCGCCGACGACGGCCGAGGAGAAGCGCGCGAGGGCGGTTAGCATGACTTTACTGTGCGTCCTCCTCCCCTTTCTCCTCATTTCCCTCGTCCTCCCCGTCGGCCTACGAGTCTTCGAGACGGTCAGCTCGGAGTACTGACCCCCTCCCTATCCCGCAGCAACAAGGACGTCAAGGGGACGATTGTGGAGATGTGCTATCATCCGAAAATCTGGACCACCCTTGCGCAGCTCGCCAAGGACGCCGGCTGGGGCGTGATCACCGGCGACGCACCTATGATGTACGTCCTACCGCGCCTCTCGATTCCCCCTCTCTCTCCCTCGACGGCGCCGCAGGAACGAGCCTGACCGCGTCGAACGCCGTGCGCAGCTGGCAAGGCGTCGAGCAGCAGGCTCTCTGGCTCGGGCTCGACAAGTCCGATCTTCCCTGCGACGAGATCGTCGACACGGTGGCGAGGCAGGTGGCGTCTGACAAGGAGACGGGCTCGCAGCCGCCTCTCGAGTAGACGTGTCCGTCGCAATTTTGTCCCTCTCCCTTTTCGTCGGCGGCCCGACGAGAGGAGAGCGTGCATCCCTCAGGACCGATCCAGACGTCGAACGATCTGAATGGACAGCTGTGCGAGAGCCGAGAGGACCTCCTCCTCCTCGCCCTCGCGAAACCAGCTTCTCGCGCTCGAACCTTGTTCGCTTCTGCTGTGGCGGCGGCTCGCTTTCCTCGGCCGAGAGTTCTCGTGCCACGGGCCCCGTCCGCCCAAGTCGACCTTCGCAACGAGCGCAGCCTCGCCCACCCTGGTTCCGCTCGATGTGGATCACGTGCGAGATTGCTCTGCTGGAAGAAGTATGAGCGCCTGGGTGAGCGTTGAACGCGTCGTCGCGGCTTGCCCTCCGCGCGCACTCGCCGACTCGATGCGGTCGCTCGCTGTTCCCGTGCTCGCACTCGCACTGGCTGCTGGAGCGTGCTACCGCTACGCTGCCATGGACTACAAGCGCGAGTTCTACCTCTTCGGCGCGCCCATCCAGCACTCGTGCGTCGAGCCCGCTCTCCCTCGTCCTCCTCCCCACATCCGCGAGCCCTCGTCGCGGCATCACGGCCCGCGGGCGGGCTCGCGTCTGAGGCTTCGAGTACGAGAGAGCTGACCTCCCCTGCAACACACAGGCTATCGCCCATGGCGCACAACACGGCGTTCGACTCGCTCGGACTCTCGTCGTCGCACTCGTTCAAGCTGTCAGTCCACGCCCTCTCCTCGCACGGCTCCCCCGCAGCAGCGAGCTGACCCACACGATCGCCCACAGCCACGAGACCGCCTCCTTCTCCGACCCGTCCGTCCTCGCCCTCCTGCGCTCGCCCACGTTCGGCGGCGCGGCGGTCACCATGCCGCACAAGGTCGCTGCGCTCTCGGTCATGGACGCGCTCGGGCCCGAGGTGCTCGAGATTGGGAGCATGAACACGGTGGTCGTGACAGGCACGATTGGGGAGGCGGGCGGGAGCAGGAGAGCGAGGCTCGAGGGGAGGAACACGGACGTTGACGGGATCAAGGGCGCGCTGTTGAGCTCGCTGCCCGAGGAGGAGCGAGGGAGGGACAAGCCGTTCGGAGAAGGGCGGAGCGCGATCATCAGTGCGTCCCTGCCCGCTCGTTTCGAGCGTCGACAAGGCCTGACCCTCGTCCTCCCGCAGTCGGCGGCGGCGGCACGACCCGAGCAGCCGTCTACGCCCTGTCGTCCCTCGGCCTCTCACCCCTCTACCTCATCAACCGCGACCCAGCCGAGACGGCCGCCATCATCTCGACGCCCGCTTTCGCGCGGTACGACCTACGCGCGCTCGAGCGCGAGGGCGACTGGACCGAGGACGAGGCGGAGCGCGTCGCATGCGGCGTCGGCGCGATCCCGAGCTTTGAGCCGCAGACCGAGGGTGAGAGGAACGTGTACCGGGTGGCGGAGCGGGTGTTTGCGTCGAGCGGGAGCAGGCCGGGGCGGAAACGACCTCTCGTGCGTCCTCCTTTCGCTCTTTCTCTCCTCGAGGTCGCCCGGTCGCTCACATGCTCTCTCCTGCCCGTACAGCTCGAGATGGCCTACAAGGCGCGCCTCTCTTCCCTCGCCTTTCCTGCGAGACCTCCTCGTCCTCACCCGCTCCTCGTGCCCGCAGCCGCACGTCACCCTCATGTACAAGCTCGCCGCGAAGCACGGCTGGTCTCCCATCGGCGGTGCGTCCTCGCCCTCCTCTGTCTCTCTCCCTCTCTCGACCGCGCAACCCAAGCTCACGTCGCCTCGCTCGCGCAGGCATCGAGGCCCTGATCCACCAGGCGGCCGCCCAGGACCGACTGTGGCTCGTCGACTCGCCCGACGAACGACGACCGACGCTCTCGGCAGAACAGATGGCGGCAGCTCGGCGAGCGGCGAGGGACAAGGTGCGAGAAGCGGCGGGAGCGCCCGATGCGCGCGCGAAGAGGCCCTAGCGCACAGGCTCGAGCAACTTGCAGCGACTTTCCTCGCGAGGACGGCGACGAGAGGACTCGGAAAGGAGAGCTGCACTGCATGTCTCGAGGGTACGGAGAGCTCGCGACGCCTGCGTCGGAAAGGGAACTCGCGGGAGGTCGGGAGAGGGGAAGAAGGAACTTGAGAAGGTCAGGCGGCGGCGACGGATTCAGGCGTGGCCGAGAGTCTGCGGGTGCAGCGCTAGTCAGTCCACGGTCGAGAGCGAGAGAGCGACAGAGAGTCATAAACGCACGTGCGGCTCGTGACGCTTGACGCGGCTGCTCGTCGACCGAGTGAGCTTGTAGAGCGACAGGGCCTGCGAGACGGAGACCAGCACCGTCAGTTCACTCGTTCGGCCCCGTCCGTCTCAGAGAAAGAGAGAGAGTGGGAGAGGGACGCACGTTGCCCCCGCCGCACACGTTGAGCTTGTTGCCCTCGCACACCATGTCGCACTTCCCGAACGCGACCTCCTTGGCGCCGCTCGCGAGCGCGTTGCCCGCCCAGCACTCGCCGCCGTACTCGAGGCCGACGTAGCTGTACCCGGCCGACTTGGCGGCGCCGACGCACGCGGCGACCGTCTTGGCCGAGGGCGAGAGGCGCTTCGAGAGGGTGCGGGCGCCAACGTCCGAGTAGCAGCCCTGGTACCTGCGGCGGCGCTGACGGGTCAGTGACGGACCTGAAAGAGAGAGCGAGAGAGAGAGGGCGCACTTGTAGCTCTTGTAGCTGGCGACGGTCGAGGGCATGCTGCGGCGACGAGAAGAAGAGGGTCAGTGCCCGCTCGAGAAGGTCGAGTGAGGGCGGCGCAGGACGCACTCCTTGGTGACGTGCGAGCCAGGCGGCGCAAACTTGCTCGTGTAGGTCGTCGTCTTCTTGAAGACCGGCGGGAGGGCGAGGTTCGGGCACGTGCCTGAGGCGGCCCTGGCGGCAGCGGTCGTCTTGGTGACAGGGTTGCAGCCGGGCAGCTTCTTGAGCGTGCCGAGAACGACCTGCGAGAGGGCGTACTCGTCAGTGAAGGCAGGGAGAGCGGCTGCGAGAGGAGGAAAGAGGCTCACCTCGTTGACGTCGGGCGTCTTGCGACACGCCGGCTCGACCGCGCGGTCGTACAGCTCGAGAACCTGCACGAGCGGCATCAGGTCAGGCTCGGTCCTGGAGAGAGATAGAGAGAGAGGGACGCACCTTGCACTCCTCGATGACGCCCGAGTCGCTCGTGCACTCGTCCATGGCGCGCTGCAGGATGGGCACGTCCCAGCCTGCAAGTCAAGCAACCGTCAGTGAGCGTCGATGCGACGAGAATGCAGCTCGACGAGAGGTTACCGTTCTGGAAATCGCCTGCGAGTCGGTGGTGAGGTCAGACAAGGTCGACTTGACGAGGGAGGGGAGGGAAGAGCGAGGACGGACCGTGGTAGCCGAGCCCGGTAGGGTCGCCGTTCTGTCGGGACACAGAGGTGCATCAGTGAGTCGCTGCCCAAGGAGAGGCGTCCGAGGAAGAGAGGGACAAAGCGCGACGCACAGCGAGGACGAAGGGCGACTTGGGGTCCTTGGCGAGCGTCCACAGGTCCTTCATCGAGTTGACGTCGTACATGACCTCGACTGTGGGCTCTCGAGGGTCAGTCGATCGGCTACTGTCGAGACTGACGAGGGGAGGACGCACAGAAGAGCGTGATGATGCGCTTCGGGTGCGTCGCCGGGCATGCTGCGTCGCACGGACCTCGAGTCAGTCCGGCTCTTTCTCGCGCACCGACGACGACGAGGACGAGTGAAAGGGGGACGCACGACCAGATTCGCCGCCGATCGGGTACGCAACGTGGCTCTGGGTCGCGCTCTTGAGGTTTTTGCCGTCCCAGCACGACGGGAAGCGGATCTCCTGCGAACGTCGACGGGCGCAAGTCAGTGCTCGTGTCCTCGAGGACTCTCGACCGACAGCGACATGGAGAGAAAGAGAGAGGGAGAGAGAGAGGGAAGGAGAGCTCACGCCGCGCAGGCCGTCGGGGCAGTTCTGCCTGGGCAGCTGGGCGATGCGGGTCTCCTTGACGCCCGTCGCGCCAAGGCAGTTCCACCCGATGGCCTGATCGACGAGGCTCGACGCGTTGTACGTGCGGCGCATGGGCGACCCGGCGAGCATCTCGAGGCCCTCGGGGAACGCGAGCACCTTGGTCCTGTCGGTCGGGTGCGCCCGTGGAAGGTAGTAGACGAGGTGGGTGCCGCCTGGGACGCTCTTGAAGGTGCCGTCGGCGAGGGCGACGTAGAGCAACGGGCTCCAGTAAGCTGACAGGTCGGCCTTGGCGAGGCACGACGTGCAGGTCGACTTGCGCAGGTCCTTGTAGGCTGAGGTCGAGCGACGGTGGTGGCGCGAGGGCACGAGAGAAAGTTGAGGGGGCATGACGAGTGCACGGTGTCGGACGAGGCGATCGAGAAGAAGGAAGGGAGGAAGAGGGAGAAGGGAGGAAAGGGAGGAGGGAGGAAAGGGAAGGGGGAGGGCAAGAGTCAGTTCCTGCCTCTCCGCGCAGACGAGGAGGAGGAAGAGGACGCACTGCTGGTCATCGAGAAGCCGCTCCCACCGGCGACCGTGTGGACGTGGCCAGCGACAGCGCCCGGGCTGATGATCGGGTCGACGCGCTCGACGACGAGCGGCGGGCCGCAGGGTAGGCGGAAGAACGACAGGGCGGGCGTGGCTGCTGCCGCCAGGGTCGCGAGAACGAGGGTGAGGCGCATCTTGCGGAGCGCTGGTCGCGGTGGACGAGGGAGAGGCAAAGCCGGCGAGGAAAAGGAGCGTGCGGGTGGTGGGAAGGCGAGGGGGGCGAGGCCTGGCGCGCGTTGACCGGCAACGCGTAGAGGGTGGAACGAAGGGCGAGTCGCAGTCGACGAGAGGCACAGAGAAGCAGAAGCAGCAGGCGCGAAAGCCCGAGTCGCGCTCGTCGTTGGAGAACACGCGCCGCTCGACCCCTTGAGCGGTCCGCGGTCTCGCATTGAGCTGGGTCTCAGATCGGAGGTCCCGTCTGTCTCGAGGCAGGCTCCTGACCGGGGCCGCTCGTGGGATGCAGCGCTCGGCGAGTGATGGTCGGGAACAAGCAGGCCGGCCGGCTCGACGAAGCGATGAGGAGGGCTCGACGAGTACGAGCTAGGCGAGGGTGCCTCTGCCTCGCAGCTGTGCGTGGAAGCTCAGAGCGCAGTACACGAGCAACCACCGCGCAACTGAGGGTGGGCGAGCGAGAGGACGGCGGAAGAGAGGTGCGACGACTCCGCTCGCCGAGCTTCAGCCTCGCTCTCTCACGACACTCTGCTCAGTCCAGCCAGGATGGACTCGGCCAAGCTTCAGCGAGCTGTCGACGACTGGCTCCGACTCGAGTGCGCCCGCCTCTCCCTCTCGTCGCCCCTCTCGTCCTCGACCCCCACACTAACCTTGCCCGTGTCGCCCTCTCGCACCGCAGCCAGGTGCGCACACCTCTCCCAGCCCTGTCGACCTCCCCTGCAGCGCCAGCTAACCTGGCAAGCCGCCTGCAGAACGAGACGACCCGCGCCGAGGTCGAGCGCCTCGTCGCCTCGGCCGACACCGCCGAGTTGACCAAACGCTTCTCGACCCGCATCGCGTTCGGCACGGCCGGCCTGCGCGGTCCGATGCAGGCCGGCACCTCGTCCATGAACGACCTCACCATCCTCCAGGCCAGCACGGGCCTCGCCAAGTACGCCGAGCGCACGACCGACGCCGCAAAGGAGCGCGGCATCGTCGTCGGCCACGACCACCGGCACAACTCGACCCGGTTCGCCCACTTGACGGCCGGCGTGTTCAGGAGGAGAGGCTGGACGGTCTACGAGCTCGAGGGCCTCGTCCACACGCCCATGGTGGTGCGTCCTCGCCCCTCTTTCCTCCTCGCCCGGACCCTCACTCACGCTCTTGCTCTCCCGCAGCCTTTCTCGACGAGCCACCTCAAGGCTGCATTCGGCGTCATGATCACGGCGAGCCACAACCCGGCAAAGGACAACGGCTACAGTGCGCCCCTCTTTCTCTCCCTCTTCTGCACGCACGCTCGAGAGACTGACCCTCGCGGACCGGTCCGCAGAGGTCTATTGGGAGAACGCCGTCCAGATCATTCCGCCGCACGACCACGGCATCGCCACCGCCATCGAGGAGTCGATCGAGGTCGACGCCGACGCCTGGAACCCGCCGGCGCCGACCGACGGCTGGACCGGGACCGGCGAGCTCGTCAAGCTGTACCTCGACATGGTCGCGTCCATGTCGCTCCACAAGGAGTACGTCAGGCGGTCGTCACTGTCTGTGGCCGCACGAGACTGACTCGTCGACCCTCGAGCAGGACCAACTCGACGACGCCGCTCAAGTTCGCCTACACGGCCATGCACGGCGTCGGCCTCCCCTTTGCGCGCTCGGCCTTCTCCGCCTTCAACTTTCCCGCCTCGTCGCTCGTCGTCGTCCCCGAGCAGGCGCACCCGGACCCCGACTTCCCGACCGTGCGCTTCCCGAACCCGGAGGAGCACGGCGCGCTCGACCTCGCCTTGGCGCACGCCGACCGCGAGGGCGCCACCGTCGTGCTCGCCAACGACCCGGACGCCGACCGGTTCTGCGCGGCCGAGAAGGGCGACGAGGGGCGGTGGACCGTGTTCACGGGCGACCAGCTCGGGACGTTGCTCGGGGCTTGGGCGCTCGAGCGGTACAGGGCGAGCGGCGGGCCGATCGGTGCGTCCTCCTCTCTCTCTCTCTCTCTCTCTCTCTCCCCGTCGTGTGCACGACGACTGAGATTTGGCCTGCCGCCCGCAGAGAAGCTCGCCATGTGCGCGTCCACCGTCTCGTCCAAGATGCTCGAGTCGATGGCCAAGAAGGAGGGGTTCCAGTTCCGCGAGACCTTGACCGGCTTCAAGTGCGTCCTCGTCCCTTACCTCTCCCTCTTCCGTCGGCACGAGGGCGTCACTGACGCGTCGACTCGTGCAGGTGGCTCGGCAACGAGATGCAGAAGCTCGAGGGCGAGGGCTTGTCGCCCGTGTTCGCCTACGAGGAGGCGATCGGTTACGCCAACGGCTCGAAGGTTCGCGACAAGGACGGCGTGCGTCCTCCTTCCCTCCCTCTCTCTCAAGTCGACCGACGAGGGCCGCCCAGACTGACTTCCCCCTCCTCGGCGCCCTGCAGGTCACGGCGCTCGCCCTCTTCTGCGAGCTGGCGACCGTCCTCGCGCGCTCCAACACGACCCTGTCGGCCCATCTTGACGCGCTGTACGACCGGTACGCTCGCTTTCGCCGAGCTCGTCGTCCAGCCGCGAAAGAACTCACTCACGCTGTCTCCCTCCTTTTCCTCGCCGTCGACAGGTACGGCTTCCACGCGACGTCCAACAGCTACTTCATCAGTCGAGACTCGACCGTCACGGACCGCATCTTTTCGCTCCTGCGGTTCGGCAACCCGGACACGGTGCGTCCCCTCCCTCTCGCCCTTCTTTCCCCCTCGAAAAGCGTCCTCCTTATCCGCTGTTGCCTGCCGACAACAGGACTCGTCGACCGCTTCGCCCTCGCAGCTCGCCCTCCCGACCTCGCTCGGCGGCTACCCGCTCACGGCCATCCGCGACCTCACCGTCGGGTTCGACTCGGGGAACGCGCCCTCGTTCGAGCCGACGCTGCCGGTCGACCGCAGCGCGCACATGATCGGGTTCGCGCTCGGGAGCACGGACACTGGGGGAGAGGGCGACGGCGTCGAGGTGGTCGGGACGGTGCGCACGAGCGGGACCGAGCCAAAGGTGCGTCCTCCCTCTCTCTCCCTCTCTTTCTCTCGCTCTCGCGCATTCGAGAACGCGAGCCCTGACCCCCGTCTCTGCGCACGGCTCCCGCAGATCAAGTTCTACCTCGAGGCGCGCGGCGCAGACCGGGCGGCGGTGCGGCGCAAGCTCGAGCGGGTGCGCGCGGCGCTCGGCGACGAGTGGCTCAGGTGGGAGGAGAACGGGCTCGAGAGGGCGTAGAACGGGTATGAAGCGGTACTGAACTGTGTGTGGTCGTTCAGGCTTTGGAGAGCGGCGCGAGTGAGCGTTGAGACGAGCCGACCTGAGAGCGAAATCGGGACTTGGCCGTGAGCGGGGCCGAGTCGGCGGCGGACCCCTCTCCTGCTCTCACCTCGCCACCAGTCGAGCTGCGACCTCGACAGGTGTACAGCACTGTTCTCTCGCACCACTGTTGAGCCGCGCACACCGCCCGCGCCCGCCTTTGTCGAGCAGCAAGTTTTCATCAGCTCGCGCCATTCGCCGCCCCTCTCGCTCCTCGCCATGGGCACCAGGGCGCCGTTGCGCCCGCTCAACGCGCTCACGAAGCACTGCCGGTGCTACTCTGCCCGCGCCACGTCGCCCCACCCGGCCCTCGTCACCCTCCCCTCGTTCCTCTCCGCCTCGGAGCACGACCTCCTCCTCGAGCACTCGCTCCGCCTCCTCGACTCGCCCGCGCGCACCACAGCCGCCGCGCGCAAGAAGCGCCGCGAGTGGGTCAAGGCGCATCCGGGCTGGGACGGCGGTGCGGCGCCGGCGGCGAGGACGGCGCGGTTCCTGCCGGACGAGGCGACGCTGTGGGAGGAGGGCCACTTTGACGGCGTCATCAAGCTGTACCGCGAGATGCTCGTCCGCGACGGGCAGTGGGGCGACGAGGCGCGCGAGGGGACCCCGCTCGCCGCCGCGCTCGACAAGGTCTACTCGCTCCTTCCTCCACCCTCCTCTTCCCCTCCATCGCCCTCGCCCCGTCCGTCACCGCCCAGTCACCTCATCCTCCACCTCCTCCACCTCTCGTCGCGCGGCTCGATCGCGCCGCACGTCGACAACCTCGACGCGTTTGGGCGCACCATCGCCGGCGTCAGCCTCGGCGGCGAGCGCGTCATGCGCTTCAAGCGCGTGAGCGACCCGGGAAACGGCGACGACGTCGATCCGGCGATGCGAGACGGGCCGAGCGAGTTCGAGGTGCTGCTCGAGCCGGGGAGTGCCTACGTCCAGTCGTGCGTCGCTCGGTTTCGCTCGACTCTCTTTCTCGCGCCGCACGAACGAGACAGAGATTGACGTGCGACGTCGACCCACAGGGAGCCTCTTCGGACGCACTACACGCACGAGGTGCTCGAGACGGCGACGTGGGACGGTCGCCAAGTCGGCGGTACTCAGCGCCTCTCGTTGATGCTGCGAGTGCGTCCTCTCTCTCTCTCTCTCTCCCTTCTCTTGGCGCCTCTCTTTTGCAGGACACGACCTGACCTTAGTCTCGGATTCTCCGCAGGATCGTGTACCAGGAGATGGGCAGAAGCCGCCGCTGTAGAACGAGCCGTGCAAGATCGTCCTGGAGCGCTGTCCGGCTTCCCTCGCGTCGCGCCTCTCTGCTTGACGTAGCTCGACAGTTCGGGCCTCTCGTCGAGATCGAGACGATGAATGAGAGGCTGAGCGAGAGCGCGAGGAAGACAGGGCGAGGTCTGTGCGAGAGCAAGGTCGCAGATGGGCTCGCGCGCCCGACGAGGACGACCAAGACAGAGTCTGCGGGCGCACGACTGCGCTGCTTCTCCTCCGCTGCTTCGCTCGCTCTCGTTGCTACCGAGGCTCATGGTCCATCCCGCCCCTCTCACCTCGGCGCCCGGCGCTCGAGCCCCCTCCCCGCGCCGTCGCCTTCGCCCGCTCGAACGAAGCGCCGCCGCGCCTCGCGTCGCTCGAGGGGAGGACTCGGAGCGCTTCCGCAAGCAGTTTTCGTCGTTCCTCGAGGACGACATCTCGTCCGAGGACATCGAGGACATGTACCGGTGCGTCCAAGAACCGCCTCCCTCGCCCTCCTCCTCGTCGTCCTACCCTCTCCACGAGCTCGTCGACGCCGTCACGGCGTCGTCGTCGCTGTCGTCGTGCCGCCCCACCGTCATGGAGGCCCGCCCAAACTGACCCCACCGTGGCCAAGGCGGCAAAAGGGCGGGTCCGGGTCAAGAAGGGCTTCAGCCAAGCTCGACTGGGCCAGGTTGAACCGCAGCGGTGACGGGGACGCGCAGCGGGAGGGCGGGCATGGTGTGGAGGGGAAATGAGGGAACTTTTTTGGTGTGGGTCGATAGCTATGGGGGGGTCTTATAGTGATATCTCATGTGGTTGACTAAGGGGGGCGGAGTAACAGAGGGGGGATGTGCTGTTAAGA